CAGTAAAGGCTTAAATATATTTTACACCAATGCTAATGGACTTTTTAATAAAATTGATTCAGAACTTAAATGTATTTTACCAGTATATAAATCTATTGATGTGATTTGCATAACAGAAACTCATTTTAGTAGTGACATATTAGATGCTGAAATTTTTATTGAAGGTTTTACTATGTTTAGAAAGGATAGAGATTTTAAGATTGACAATTCAACCAATATTATAAGTGGGGGTGGTGGTTCTATCATTTATATCAAGAACAGTTGTAATGCTTCTTTAGTAAGCTCTTTTTTAAGTGCACCAGACTCTTTAGCTGTTAGTATTAACACATCTGGTGGATTGATTACTATTTGTTGTATTTATAGATCAACTTCTTTAAATTTAAAACAGAACAATACATTACTATCTTGTATCAAGGGTATATGTAGTGAAAAGAACAATTCTGAAGCAATCCTTATAGGAGATTTTAATTTACCTACTGTATCATGGGTAAATGGAAGTGTAAATAATAATATCTTTAGTAGAAATCAATTTTTAACTATTCAACAGAAGTATATGGATATTTTTAATGACAGTGGTTTAACATGGTACTTTACCAACGAAACAACCAGAAGACGGCTTGTGAAAGATACTCTCCAGGAGAGCCTCCTTGATCAGGTCTTGTATACAAATGATGCTCTTGTCAACGGTTGTAAGATTGTTTCACCGCTTGGTAAGAGTGATCACGTTGGGATACTTGTCGAACTGGTTGTTTCGCCAAATACTGATAAGAGTCCTAAAGAGAAAACTGTAAAACCTATCTGGGGTAAGATTTCGTCTGATGAATTATTGAAGTTTAGTATGGATAACATTGACTGGGATTATAGTTCTACAAATTATAATGTTCAAGAAATGTGGACTGAACTACATGGTAAACTGGAGGCTGTTGCCGCTGCTGTCCCAGCTGCTTCTGTTTATCTCGACAACAGGCCTGTCAAGTTGCCATGGAGTACAACTTCACTTAAGAGAATGAGGAAGAATAAGGACAAAGCATGGGCTGAGTTTGATAGAAATCCATCTGTAATCAATTTTAGTTATGCTAATAGCAAGCAACATATTTTTGAAGTGGCTGAAGTTAAAGCTAAAGTTAACTATGAAAAGAAGATTACATCTAATTTAAAGCAGAATAGTAAGTCTTTTTACTCATATTTACGTAACAAAAGGCAAGTAAAATCAAGTGTGGTTTCCTTGGATAGAGGAGATGGTACACGCACAGATAGTTCTGCTGAGTCTGCTGAAGTACTTGCAAGTGCCTTCAGCTCAGTGTTTGTGTGTGAGCCACCTGGCCCTCTTCCTAAAAATGACACTTTGGATTATGATAAAGATGTTATTAGTGATTTGCAAGTTAGCAGTGCTGATATTAAGAAGCAACTTTTAAAGCTTAATATTTTTAAGAGTTCAGGTCCGGATGGTGTTCATCCAAAGTTATTAAAATCGTTAGCTTATGATGACAACTTTGTAGAAGCAGTCACTAAATTATTTAAAATGTGTTCAGAAACGGGATCTCTTCCTGAGGTGTGGAAGTCAGCATCCGTTGTAGCATTGTTTAAAAAGGGTGTTAAATCAGATCCCTTAAACTATAGACCAGTTTCCTTAACTTGTATTTTGTGCAAAGTGTACGAAAAGTTGGTGAGGGCACATTTATTGGATTTTTTAGAAGAACGAATATCAAAGCATCAGCATGGATTTGTTAAGGGCAAATCTTGCTTATCTAATCTTTTAGAGACATTTGATAATATTCTTGATATTTTAGATGAAGGTGATCCTGTTGATCTACTGTATTTTGATTTTAGTAAGGCCTTTGACACTGTCCCCCACTTTAGACTTTTATCTAAATTGGAGGGGTTTGGGGTCAAAGGAAAAGTTTTAGATGTTATTAAAGATTTTCTTACAGACAGAACCATGAGGGTTTGTGTAGAAGGACAATGGTCTGAGGTGAAACACGTGTTATCTGGTGTTCCCCAGGGGTCAGTATTGGGTCCTTTGCTATTTATTCTTTATATTAATGATTTGCCTGATATAGTCAAGAATAAGATTAAATTATTTGCAGATGACCTCAAGTTGATTGGTAATGCAGCTAACCACAGCAGTGTTGCTGAAGATATTGTAGAACTGGAAGTCTGGGAGAGTATTTGGCTTTTGAAGTTTAATCCTGCTAAATGTAAAGTTGTTCATATTAATCTTAATAGCAACCCTAACTTAAATTATTTAGTAAATGGTGTAGAACTTGAAGTATCTGATCAGGAAAAAGATTTGGGGGTTATTACCCATAGTTCCCTGCTTTGGAATGAACAGATAAAAGCATGTATTTCCAAGGCAAATCAAATGATTTGCTGGATTGTAAGGAATTTGATAATTAGAGAAAAATGTGTAATGATAGCCATCTATAAAGCTTTGATAAGACCTCATCTAGAGTATTGTGTCCAATTGTGGAATCCAGTTGTGGCTCATGGAAGTTGGGGGACTGTTTTGGAGCTGGAGAGCGTCCAGAGGCGGTTTACCCGTCTGATTGATGAGGTGGGTACTCTTCCTTACAGCCGTAGACTGGAAATCCTTAATTTGACAACGCTGGCAGAGCGGCGAATACGTGGGGACCTTATTGAAGCTTTTAAGGTTATTAATGGCTTGACTGATTATGGTTCAGACTTGTTCAGACCAAGCAGATCAGGTCTTAATCTGGTTTCATCCAATAGATGTAGTAAGAGTGTGACAAAGGTCAAGAATCTTCAGTGTTCTTTTCTTCCAGAGCGGGTTGTTCCTTATTGGAATAAACTCCCTTCGGAGGTGAAGAACTGCTTGACAGTTTTGAGTTTTAAAATTGGATTGGAAAGTTTTAAAAAGAATATGATTTCTAAATGTATTGTAAATGACTTTCATTTTTGGAATGTTTCGAAAGAAGTTTTAACAAGAATTGAAGGTACCAGTTATATCAGTAATAAGGAAAAACACAATGATTATCTGTGGTTCCATCCTTATGTAGCAAAGAAACGTTTTATAAATCTTTACTCCACTGGGAAGTATGAATAAATTAAATTTTGTAATGTTGTTTTTATTCATGATTAATATTTGATAAATTATTACCTTTAAATTTGATGGAGAAATAGTTATTTTTCCATGTAGTGTGATGATACTTTGTAGACATTAGTGATGATGTTATGTCATAATTTTTACTTTACTTTTACTTTTACTTTACGAGGCATATGAATTGTAGTGTGATACGCTACCACTCTGTGCCACACAATTAATGCGTCGTGCTACAAGCAAACATATTTTAATTAAGTTAAAGTACATTGATTGGGGACTAACTAGTCAGTAGTCTTCAAATTGATTATCACAATTAACTATCAAGAACTAGTGTGAACTATAGAGAAAAGACAATTTTTTGAGAAAAGACAATTTTATTATTTATCACCAATTCAATACATAATCAATAAATATATATCCGAATAAATTTGATTTAAAATTAAATGAAACAAGTATGCTAGCAGCTAGCGCGCTTGTATTTAATAAACATTCACGCTGTTAAAAATGGGTCTTACCACACCGCCACTCACATTAGCACAGTTGGTGAACGGACCCAGGCGCTGTTAAGCTTTTATGAGCCCTGGTTGACTGCTGAGAGTGGCGACGGGTCTGACATTAATTTTATTTTAGTTTTCCCTATATTCCAATAAAATTTTAGTTTTGAGTTGAATGATTTTTATGCGATATTTAAGTTGAAGCTGCTTTGTGCTTGCAATACATTATTGCTTGAAAATTGTTTAAATATGCTCGCTATACGCTTAATTTTTAGATACCGTATGTATATGTACACATCAGCTCATAATACTAAATAACAATAATAAATAAATTAAAAGCATGAAGAGGTCCAAAACCAGTTCAAGCATTCGACACCAGGATGAATACATTGACATCGGAAGCTGCAAGCTTATTAACGTTTGATTCCACGATGATCCGTTATTATGCAGTCACCTTCAGGCGGTGTCGACGGATCATCCGAAAAGGGTTTTTGACAGGCTGTGCCCTTACCATAATTAAACTGAACCATTGCCTGGTACGATGTAAACATGAGTGGTGGATAAGAGAGCCGCGCAAGCGCTCGCGCAAGCGCATTTGTGTCGCTCTGACAAATAGCGCTTGAGTAATTTAGCTACCAAGACGTAAATCGCGCGTTACGTAAAGTATCATTTTTCCCTTCGGATAAAGCGAACGGTACACCCGCGTGTAACCTTCTTCAATGGGTTGTGTGCGTGTTTGGTGGAGTGAGTGTATAATGTAATGATTGAATGAATCTTTTTCTTTTGTGGTGTATATATGATGTGAGTGACAGGTGTAAAATGTAAAAGATGTAAATATAACGACACAAAAAAGAAAATACGATCATAAGTGGTGCCACGTATATTAATATTATATTGAGCTCTGTCCAGGTAGTAACTGTGTTATAGTAAATTTAATCTTTTGATATTAGGACGAAACTAGAATATTCGAACCATGTGTACATGTCTGTGCAAGGAAGTCCTATGGTTCTAAAGAAGCTATACTGTGACTTTTTTACTGATCGATAAAAAGTAACCATCAGAGCCATACAGAGAACGTGTTAAAGTTAGTCACATGATAGTTCAGCATAGTTCAGTATGGAGTGATGAATCATAATCTATGCATTTTTAATTTGGTCTTACAGTTGGACAATAAGCGTTGATCACTATTATATCTAGTATTTGGACAATAATGCTTAAAAATATTTTGAGTATCATTTCACTACCTAACCTATTCTGCATAATTCACAGTATAACTTTATTTAATTCTCATTCTCTATTTTAGATTTATTACAAACCAGCTTGATTGTACTCCGCTACTATATTAGGTCCACAAGGTGGGACCATGTTTTTGTATTAATTACAATGATGTTTTTAAAAAGATTAGATTTGAAAAATTCCAACAAATATTCATATTTTATACCCTCAGCAAATATGATCTGAAGTTAATATCCTGATTCCTGAGAGCTGATTTGACATGACTGGTGGTGAAAACGTAAGTAAAATAATTATCGAAGTTCGCATTTTTCTATTACCTACTCTACTCAATAATGGGACTTGATTTACAACTATAGTTTGCTGATATTATACATAAATTTCATAATTTATACCATTTTCAAACTCGTGTGCTGATAAATGAATAAATGATATTTAAACTCACTACTTTTTCTTGAGGCAAAAAAGCACATTTTACAGCCAAAAGCTAGTTTGGGCTCCTTACTGGGAGCAGCCTGCCCTACATGAATTGCCTCCTTCCCTTTTAAATGGATCTTACTTACTTAAACCTTTTCAGGTTGATCCGGATATTCCACTTAATCGAGCAAGTTCTGAATACAGAGCTGCTCTTGAAATTGAACTCTGGAAAGATATCACTCAACAAGAATTCTTTGCAAATCTATCTAGGAAAGAAGAGAGGATTTTTTCTGAATTGAGTGGCGTCTTTAAAGAAGAACAAGTTCGTATTGAATCAGAAGTCAGAACTTGTAAACGATCTTATGATGACTTACTAAAGCAGTACAAGAATAAGCTATCGTCTCTAGAAAAAAGGGAGACAAAATACACTAACAACGAAGCTTCTTTTGAGCGAACACATAGTTTATTTTCTAAAGAAAGAACAGCCAAGTTGGATGATATCAAGCAAAAATCCAATTACAAAAGTGATTTTCTAAGTATTGAGTTAGAGACTGTGAACAGTAAAATTAGAACTGCTGAGCATCTCAATTCAAGGCATGCTCACAGGATAGAAGAAACTGAAAAGACAGCGAGTTTGAAAGAAATGGAATTATCCGCTACGTGTCAACCGGATCATTACCAAATACCTGTTAATCTACAGGAGGAACTATTCACTGCTAAAACCGAATTAGCCAACTCAAAGGATAAATTGTCTAAGACCACCATTGCCAAAGAAAGGTACAAAATGAAGCTTAAGTCTGTACTTGAAGAGCTGTCCAAATGCAAACAGGCTACAAATCAGCAACAGTTTCAGATTAATTCACTGCCCCCTCTTACAGTCCAACCAAAATATACGAAAAATGCTGACCTAGTAAAGACCAAACATGGGAATTCAGACCTTGATGGTATTAAATCAGAACTAGAAAACATTATAACAAGTATGTCTAGCAGTACTCAAAAAACTTTATCTATTCCATCAAGCCAAGTCGAGAGTGAAATTGCAAAGCTGATTAGTGAAAGGAACACTCTCCTTAATACGGGAGTCTATATGTCAAATGACTTTATTATACAGCAACTTGATAAACAGATCAAGTCATTGCTACCTCTGAAAGAAAAATCAGTATATTGACAGCATCGAGAGATACTATGTTGCAAATCATTTTACAGATCCTATTTCGTTTCCGAATTTCAATTTACACAAAATTCATGTAATATTCGAAATTAAAGTTTATCGTGAGTTTCTAAATTTCTGTTATTTATTTGTATATATAGTCCTTGATGTTCAGGATGGCCGATGGTACACAACTCCTTAAAACTTCGATTCATGTTCTTAATACTACATTGTGATGGTAACTGAATATATTTCCTTAAAATGATAATAAAAGTGTTGACAGCAATCGTGTTGCTTTGATTGAAATATTGAATTGAGCTATATTACATATTATCGTCGTGGTTTTTTCTAAAGGGCGAATCTAATAGAGGTCTATAACATCCCAAACAGTTTGAAGCTCTATCGTGCTTAGTTTAGATTTTCAAATAATAATAAGGGCGAATGTTATTTTCGAGATTTCAATAAACGCCCAATGTTATACATAATTATAATGTTTAATAAATTAAACTGAAATCGTTTGTGTTAATAAATTGACACTAGTAATACTAACTTCTCTCAACTAACCTCTCTCACTAACCTCCCTAGACGAGAACTTAAAGGCCGCAAGTTTGGCAAATTTTTCAGCTTAATTGCAGTGTTTTTGTCCCCAAATTTTGTCTCCAAATCGCACTATTTACAAAATATTACCGCACTTATATATTGCCCTCTGTCGCCTCTGCTCGCTTTATGTACAGTAAGATAGTGTAAATATTTTGAACTAAAAACGTACATTACAGTGATTATTGTCGTTATTGAGGTATTTTATGGAAATTTGACATTTGTGTTCAGCTCTGGTTTAGGCCCTCGTCCATCTTACCGTTCTTATTGTCACATTTTAACAGCAGCATGTGTAACTTTAACATTCTGCAGTTAAATCTAACAAATATTTACATCAGAAAGATATGGATGATAATATAATGAGCTCATTTAAAAGCCCAATAAATCATGAGAATGTAAACAGTTCCACGCCTCGTGTAGTCATCACCTCACCAGGACCAACAGGCTGTTTAATCAATTCTTCTCAAACCAAATCATCAACTCCCGCTGTCAGTTTCGGTGGCTGTCGGAGGAAGCTGGAGTATGACTATATCTGGTCACAGATTGACAGTCTGTGTAATACCAGCGCCCACGTGAGTTCCGTTTAACTTCTGATTGATTTTTTGAAGTTATGATATTCTCTGATCTTGTCTACATTTCAAATATTCGATCCTAAACAATTCCTTAAATTAGTGTTCCTGCAAATATCCCAGCTTGATCTGACACGATCTATATAAATAACTATTTACTATTATTTTAGTCCTTATCTTCACAAGATATCATAATTTGTTCATATTTCAGATCCAGAATTCTTTTTTAGAGGTTTTCGGCAAAAAAACTGACATCTCATATGGAGCTAAGGTACGCTACGACAAACATCAAATCATAACTTTGCTTCATTTCCAGTACTCCGATTAAATATATTAGACTTTATAGCCTTCTTTCTAGGTATTTGTAGAATCTAAAACCATGTAAATCAGTTACTCTACCGATCATTACTTTTCAGGCTAAAAGTGAGTTTGATAACGACATGGACACACTCATAGAGCGTCTTGAGAAAGTTTGTAAACTGCTGAAGGAGGACGACGTTGCTCATCGCAGTCTTGCTGTTGTTCTATACGGTATAATAATAATAGTTAATAGTACTATGTTTACAGTACACTACAATGCACTGAAGGGGTATCCTAAGACGTTTCTTGAACTTTTGGCAGGGTACCCCCTCCTCATTTAACCCGGCATAGTTTAGTGTAAAATCACACATACCTAAACGTTTGAGGTATAAATTCCACTGTAATATGAGTAAAACCCTTCCCGGCGTTAGTGAAGGACTCTAACGGGACTCTAACGTTAGTACAGCTCTTTCCTCAGAATCGTCAGTAGCAGCATACAATGAAACCGACACAAGTAAACTCTCTGATGCCAGCTTCAGTGATAGTTTCGAGATCATCAACACGTCACGAGTGAGTAGATAGTAACTTGTTAATTTGTTAATTTGTTAATTTGTTAATTTGTTAATTTGTTAATTTGTTAATTTGTTAATTTGTTAATTTGTTAATTTGTTAATTTGTTAATTTGTTAATTTGTTAATTTGTTAATTTGTTAATTTGTTAATTTGTCAATTCATTGATTTGTTAATTTTTTAGGTTCAAAACAAACAATTAATTTCTTAATTTCTTAACTTCTTAATTTCTTAATTTCTTAATTTTTTAATATCTTAATTTCTTAATTTCTTAATTTCTTAATTTCTTAATTTCCTTATTTGTTAATTTCTTAAATTGTTATCGACGACATGGTTTACTAGACTACTGGGTACAGAGGCTGCATCTATCTGATCACTTTCAGGAAGGATCCAACTTAATCTGTAGTGATTGTAACTTGCTGTTTAAGGAAGAAATATAATATCAGTAAGGTTATGAAAATATGGCACGTACTTACTGCGGTAATTTATCTTATCAGGGAGCTCATGTTACTCAGATTGGAACAAAATGTTCCAGTAGTTTTGACTTATTTTGCATGGGTGACAGTTAAAATATACTAATCAAATCAACCTTCGTTGATCCGACAGCGTATAAGAATTGCAGAATTGCAACCTGTCGGTGTCTTTATCTGGTTCAGCTTTTCTAGTTCCCCTGGCTGTAGTTTATTTGACGCTTAGTTTCAATATTCTGGATCTTTCTATTACAATCTCCAGAGCTATGGGGCCTGAGAAATCTAGCTTATCTAGTTGTTTACGGTTATTTATGTGTTGAGAAGATAACGTAAATAACGGTGATTTTATATGCCAAGAATCATCATATCAACATAAATTATACATATTATGTTATAAATCATACATATTATATTATAATATAATAATACCTTCGCTTCTTTGGCCTTTGGGCTCCGCGTGATAATTCCCGACAGCTTGTTGGAGGGAATTTGCATCCCGAAGAACCGAAGGTATTATTTCTTATAACTGTTCAAGACGGGATTCCGCTTGGAACATGTGTAATGTGATACGTGCGCTTGATACAATATTGTGTGTAATATATAGTGCACCACTGTTATTTGTTTTGAAACTTCGCGCCAGCCAGTCTGAGGTGACTCGCTTCTCTGCTGATAATACGCTTGATTGATTGTAAACCGAGACGGTGCCCAGGTGGTTCTAATGACCAATTTAAATCTTAACAAATATATTATAAAAATTGTAATAATCCCTCACAAGGGCACTGCACTCTTAATAGGAAAATGCCACACTGTGTAGAACAGCAACTTTACGATGTAATTTAAACCTCATCTGACAAATATCGCGAAAACTTTAAGTTTTGTGTGCTCCAACGGCCAGAATGAATGACTCAATCAAACAAAAAATTGTATCACAACGGGACAAGTTCCCATCCTCATACAAACACTATCGTCCCTAATAAAATAACAACACATGTATTGTAAAAAATACACTCTAGTGAAAGCCACACTCATCTAACTGATTTGTCTTCGGTATGAATTGTCCCTCCTTTGATGTAGTGGTGCTTGTTTGGCTCAGCTTCTTTCTTCTTATGCAGGTTTTGAACAAGAAGTCTGTGCTTAACACGATCCTCCAAAGAGCGGTCTGGACTAATGAAGACTGAGCTGAACTTCTCTGATTGTCGCAGCTTTCGAGCTTGACTGATTATTTGATAGGCTGTACTGGAACTGGACAGAGTAACCTTGACTGGCCGAGTAGTTTTCTCCTTCGACTTGCCAACTCTACTGAGCTCCATTGCTGGTTTCAGTCCAATCTCTTCAAAAATTTCTTCGACAGTTTTGTTTAAGTCTTTGCTGGAATCTTCAGGCAAACCAAAAAACATAATGTTCTTGCTCCGGTCTTCTGCTTGCACCACAGACTTGACGACCTCTTTCAAAGTCTCGGCGGTAACTGAACTTGCAGGTTGACAAACCATGACGTTTTCCTGAACTGTATCGCTGTACGATTTAAACTGACTTTCTACCATGTCTTTGACGACGGTCTGCACTGCCTGCAACTGTTTCTGCAACTGTTTTTCTTTGCAGTCAATTATTGATTCCTGAGCGCTGATGACCAATTTCTGATTCTCAATCAACTGATCCTTGATTGAGCTCAATCTGTTTTTCATCTTCTTCAAATTGTCATTTTGAAAGCGAACCAAATGAAACGATTCCGAAAAAAACGCTGCAAACTTTTCCTTATCCTCTAGATTTAATTTCCTTTTATTCAAAAAGTGTTTGCACAACACAGAAGTTATGTGAATTGGTTCTTCACAACCGAACTGATCCATAACTCTTGTCATCCAATCCTCAGCTTTAAATATAATACTGTCGATCTCCGTGTCATCTACAGCTGCCATGATGCAGGGCTAAGCCACAAGGTGAAAGGCACAATATCTCACCGTTAAACAAGGTGAGATAAGAAAGCAGATAAGAGAGCAAATTAAACAAACGTATGCTATTAGTGTAGGGTCTGAACTTGACAAACATATGCTATTAGTGTAGGGCTGAACTTGATTTGTGTAGGGCTGAACTTGATTTTAGTGTAGGGCTTCTCTTGCGGGAAAAATCTGCAAATTATCAGCTTTCAGTGTCCACGAGTTTTAGTGCATATAATTCCCGGAAATAGTTATAAATTATGCATATCATATTACCTAACTTCCTAAATATGTCACCCACGGCCACAGCTGCACTGGTTTATTGTTTATCCAAACATTTAGTATGTACTACATTGTACTAGTATGTAGATGCATTGTACTGTTTAAATGTTGTGATGATATTGTGTCGAGAGTGCCACGAGAGTGCCGCGACAGTGCCATCGGGATCCGGATGTATAACCTTGTCTGCCGTACTCTCACTGCCGAAAATTTCGTTGCATTTCTTAAATAATTTGATCGATTAGTTTTGAGGAATAATACGATTGAAAAAAAAAATTATCCAGGCTCCTTAATTAATTATTTTGAGAAGTTTTAATTCTGTTGCTGTTCGTAATTTTCACTTTATAAACCCAAAAAAACCCATTTTACCTCAAATTTCCATTTTGGGAATGGTTTTTTTGGGTTTTTAAAATTTTTTCCTTTTTTTGTAACTTTTTATCTAATTAGACTACATTGAAAACAAAACCCCTAGGCACTCCTTTCAATGTTTTTTAATCAATACAAGAGTTGACTGACCTATACTGGCCCCTCAATTCTAACATTTTTTCTTTAAAAAACTCATACTTGCCTGAAATTTGCCTGAAATTTCCATTTTGGGAATAGGTTTTTTGGGTTTTTTTTTCTGGAGTTTGCTAGTATTTGCCTTGTATTTTATTCTGTTTGCGTTCAAAGGTTACCCAGATGTATGATATTCTCACTTACCCATTCTTTTATTCAATATAGGTGGGGAGAAGAGATGTCATTTATTTTGGCTTTGCTAAAGCTACCTTTTGTCTTCCTTCTTGAAGTCATCTACTTCATCTTTAGATGCAGACCCAAGAAAGACATAAAAAACCAGCATATCCTGATCACTGGAGCTGGACAAGGGATTGGAGCAGAGTTTGCCCGACAGTTTGCTGCTATGGGGAACACTATCCACTGTGTTGATATCGTGGAAAAATTAGTAGAGAATGTTGTGGAGGAGTTGAAAAGAGATGGTCACCAAGCTTACTCGTACACATGTGATCTTACCAAGCACGAGCAGGTACAGAAGCTACATGATGACATAGCAGGTGCTGGGTTTATTATCAACATGCTGGTCAACAATGCTGGAGTGGCTTTTGGAGTGAGTATCCAGAAAATGTCTCTAACTCAAATACAGCATTCCATGATGGTGAACATAGTGTCTAATCTGTGGCTTATCAAGCTCTTTATGCCGAAGATGCTTGAGCTCAATGAAGGTCACATTGTGAACGTAGCATCTCTGGCAGGGTATTTTCCATTGAGAAGTTCTACTGATTACTGTGCAGCAAAAGCAGGTTCAATTCACACTTTGAATCAACTCCGAATGGATCACATGGGAACGAACCTAAAGTTCAGTGTCGTATGTCCCTTTTTTGTGAATACTAAGATGATTACTGGTATTGATCCATCTGTTGCTATATCTTCAGTCGCCCTGGTAACCAAAGCTATTCGAGGAATCAGGGAGAATAAAGAAGTGATTCCTGTTCCTAACATGTTCAGAGTGTTGAAAGTAATCCAAGATATTGCTCCTCCGTACCTTATGCGAGCTTTAATAGTAGCTACGAGCTCAACTAATGGTGCCGATGCAGAAATAGATGCAAAATTCGTCGGACAAAGAATGAGTGAAAAAGTCGAATAAACAATAAGTGTAAAGTGGAAGTGTGTTGATCATTGTAACGAACATTTTGAAAAGTTTATAGATTTGGGATAATCGTACTCTGATTTATAATTATATACCATAATCATGATGGCATCATGAATCATGATTAATAGAAATATGCCTGTTATCTGGTTAGTTTATTTCGCTTCTTATATTATGTAGGGTAAGGTAACTAAAAGTCAAGAAATTATTTGTTATACCCAAAATATGAACGAAAATACAGTTTGAAATTTGTGAAATGTCAACAATCAGTATTAATTTTGACAAAAAATCGTCACTGCAATTTTATCAAACAAAACAAGATCAAGACCACTGCTGCAATATCTTAATTGTGCGTCTCAATAAACGACTGGTTCAGAGTAAAACTGTTCAGTAAATATTCAACATCCCTGTTCTTGATCAGTATTAAGATTGATTGATTGATTGAAAGACCCAAAGGCCACCCATACGGTTTTTGAGCAGTATACACAATTTATTTTAAACAAAATAAAGTTGAGCTATCCCTGGAAATGAAACGATCTGCATGTGTACCTACTTACAAATTAAGCCAGACCCGCCTTGCAAGGACTTTCAGTCCTGCGAGCTCAACGGATCATGGTTGACCTAAATATTGTATTATGCCTTGACCTAAATATAATAAAATATGAGCCACAGTTCTTTCTTCTACCTAAATCTCCACACAAAATCCTGCATCGTAAAAAACTTGTTGAAAACGGTTTATAGAAATCATAAGCCAAAACTTACACTAAATACATACTATGTAAAACAAACTACACAGTACACAGTCATCATCCATGGTCCTTGCTAGTAGCTGTCGGGCGAATGTGCTGTTATAGGAATTATGAAGTTTAATTGGAGCATTTATTAAGTGTGTTCCATTCACCCTCTCTAGATTTTGATTGCTATTTGCTTGACATTTTTGTTGCAGTCTGATGCAGGTTTTTGATTGAGCGGGTTTTTACTTTTGCACCCTTTTTAACACTGGTTAGATATAAGTCACTGAACTGAAATCGGAATAAATGGTTAGAGTCCTTGTGAATCGGCCATGAAATGCGATATCGTGAAGGGTAATAAGATTACAAAAATTGTCCTGGCTCCTGAATTAATTATTTTGGAGGTTTTCATTCTGTTACCGTTCCTAATTTCGACTTAAACGTATTATTTGTGTTGCCTTGTCCCGAGTGGGTCACGTTGATTATCAATTGTCTTTGTATTACCTTTAGACAGTTCCATCTTATTATACTGTAGTCGAACTGAAATTGTGTTTGTTGGTAGTTAGTTTATTGTTCAGCCATGAAGTCCAGTATAGATTAGGACCTTGACTATTCGAGCTTAGTTTTAGTGAATGCTATGAACAGAATCCGAGAAGTCTTATAAAGAAAGCTCTGTGCAATTCCATCGTTAGATTCCAAAAATAAATACCACGAGGAACTAGTCTTTGCCTTGTATTTTATTCTGTTTGCGTTCAAAGATTGTAACCCGGATGTAAGATATTATCACTTACCATAACCATTTTTCAATATAGACCGTGAAGATGTCATTTATTTTGGCTTTGCTAAAGCTCCCTTTTGTCTTCCTTCTTGAAGTCATCTACTTCATCTTTAGATGCAGGCCCAAGAAAGACATAAAAAACCAGCATATCCTGATCACTGGAGCTGGACAAGGGATTGGAGCAGAGTTTGCCCGACAGTTTGCTGCTATGGGGAACACTATTCACTGTGTTGACTGTTGATATCGTGGAAAAATTAGTAGAGAATGTTGTGGAGGAGTTGAAAAGAGATGGTCACCGAGCTTACTCGTACACATGTGATCTAACCAAGCACGAACAGGTACAGAAGCTACATGATGACATAGCAGGTGCTGGGTTTATTATCAACATGCTGGTCAACAATGCTGGAGTGGCTTTTGGAGTGGCTATCCAGAAAATGTCTCTTACTCAAATACAGCATTCCATGATGGTGAACATAGTTTCTAATCTGTGGCTTATCAAACTCTTTATGCCGAAGATGCTTGAGCTCAATGAAGGTCACATTGTGAACGTAGCATCTCTGGCAGGGTATTTTCCATTGAGAAGTTCTACCGATTACTGTGCAGCAAAAGCAGGTTCAATTCACACTTTGAATCAACTTCGAATGGATCACATGGGAACGAACCTAAAGTTCAGTGCCGTATTACCCTTTTTTGTGGACACCAAGATGATAACTGGTATTGATCCATCTGTTGCTATATCTTCAGAGGCCCTGGTAACCAAAGCTATTCGAGGAATCAGGGAGAATAAAGAAGTGATTCCTGTTCCTAACATGTTCAGAGTGCTGAAAGTAATCCAAGATCTTGCTCCTCCGTACCTTATGCGAGCTTTTGTAGGAGCTACCTGGCCTACCAAGGGTTCTGATGCGGAAATGGATGCAAAATTCGTCGGACAAAGAATGAGTGAAAAAGTCGAATAAAAAATATGTGTAAAGTGGACGTGTATGGAGCATTGTAACGAACTTAAATATCTAAATATGATTCAGATTCTTAGATGTGATTTAATTGTACCTTGATTAATAGACAATCATTCAAATAACACAAAATGTATTAAAATGAAATTTAGTTTTAATTTTTTTCATAATAATCTGATTAACTTAAGTTTAACCAAGCAAAACAGGATTCCTGCTGATAGAAACATAGTCAAAATCAAGACCACTGCTACAATATCTAAATTGTGCATCTCAATAAACGACTGGTTCAGAGTAAAAATGTTCACTAAATATTCAACATTCCTGTTCTTGATCAGTATTACTATTAATCAGTGTAAAACCTCGGCAACAACTGTTCCAGACCTCGGGCTATAATTACTAGCAATATCAACAGCTCTTTTCATGTTGGCTTTGAAAGTCCCATGCTTGGTTAAAATCTTGCCTATAGTCTTTGTAAGAGTCTGCTCAGATGGTGTCTCCCTGGTTACCATCAATCCAACCCCTTTCCTTTCTACCTGTTTATTAAAGTAGGCCGCGGAATTTCGATTGATCCAGACTCCTGAATCTGTGAGCAGTTTGGTTGCTGAGAATTCTCCTGATTTTATTACATTCTTTTATACTACTATACTAGGTTTAACAGGATTTTGATATCATACTATTATTTTTTGTAAATATTCCATTAGAACCGCCGACATCGTCCGGATCCAAACAAAACAATTAGTTAATTAGTTTAATTAACCTGAATTGAAGTTAAGTCTACAATAACTTCCCTCAGACGGACCTGGACCTGTCAATAGAAGAGTCGATTTTAATAGAACAGAGGATGAATCCTGCTAAAAGGAGGAGGATCTCATTCAGTACCGACTACTCTGTACCACCGTCAGGTTAGTACTTAGTACCGACTACTCTGTACCACCGTCAGGTTAGTACTTAGTACCGACTACTCTGTACCACCGTCAGGTTAGTACTTAGTACCGACTACTCTGTACCACCGTCAGGTTAGTACTTAGTACCGACTACTCTGTACCACCGTCAGGTTAGTACTTAGTACCGACTACTCTGTACCACCGTCAGGTTAGTACCGACTACTCTGTACCACCGTCAGGTTAGTACCGACTACTCTGTACCACCGTCAGGTTAGTACTTAGTACCGACTACTCTGTACCACCGTCAGGTTAGTACTTAGTACCGACTACTCTGTACCACCGTCAGGTTAGTACTTAGTACCGACTACTCTGTACCACCGTCAGGTTAGTACTTAGTACCGACTACTCTGTACCACCGTCAGGTTAGTACCGACTACTCTGTACCACCGTCAGGTTAGTACTTAGTACCGACTACTCTGTACCACCGTCAGGTTAGTACTTAGTACCGACTACTCTGTACCACCGTCAGGTTAGTACTTAGTACCGACTACTCTGTACCACCGTCAGGTTAGTACTTAGTACCGACTACTCTGAACCACCGTCAGGTTAGTACTTAGTACCGACTACTCTGTACCACCGTCAGGTTAGTACTTAGTACCGACTACTCTGTACCACCGTCAGGTTAGTACTTAGTACCGACTACTCTGTACCACCGTCAGGTTAGTACTTAGTACCGACTACTCTGTACCACCGTCAGGTTAGTACTTAGTACCGACTACTCTGTACCACCGTCAGGTTAGTACTTAGTACCGACTACTCTGTACCACCGTCAGGTTAGTACTTAGTACCGACTACTCTGTACCACCGTCAGGTTAGTACCGACTACTCTGTACCACCGTCAGGTTAGGATATAAATAAGGCCTAAAACCAAGCTGATAAGGGCTTTTGTAGCTGTGGTCTTATGAACTCACATGAGTGTAGAGGTTGTTATTTACCGGGATCTAGAGGACTAGTCAGGTACTACTGAGTTGGTTGGTTCAAAATCAAACACTCTAAATTAGTTTGACTTCTTGAAAGATAAAGTCAGCAAAGGTTTTATTGGAATGTGGGCACTGAACTCAAATTCATGCGTATATTACAAATTGGATAAATCAGACATATTTACAATCGAAGCCACGGACGGCTATGGAGGGGAAAGGGGTGTCGTGTGATAAGTGTTTCTCAAATTGGTTGATGTTAATGTAGTGTTAGGACGGTGAAAGGTTGTTACTTAAAAGGATTGTGTGAATGAATTCGTGGGGGAGGTGCTATTAAATCAATAAAGTTATATACTGTACATGAAGACATGAGTGTTTCATACAAATTGGTCAAAAAATGTACTATGAGTATGTCCCCAACTAAAATGATTAGTTTATGTTTAAAAACGTGAGATTTCTAATATAACTAATACGTCATAGTAGTTTTTAAAAATTTTCAAATTTCACTTTTACATTTCACTTTGTTCGCGTGATTAATATTTAATAAATTCAGTGCTCACCCTCATAAACCGCCCTCAGAATCTCCTTCAACCTCACCAGACCAGTTTAAATCAAAGCCAGTTGTCCGGTTCACCACTCCACAGCCCACCGTCAGGCGCAGCACTGAGAGCCACATGAGCATCGCTAAAATGGCCCTTTCTGAGGCTAGGAAAGGCGGACATCACGTGACATCGTTAAAGGACTTTATCGTTATTAAACCTATCAGGTAGAGTAACGCTAAATTGTATTTATAGAGTTATAGAGTGACGATTTTTATTAACTAGCTGACCTTTTGTAGATCGGACATTGAAAATCTGTACTGTGAATATTAGTGGGACAGAAAAATTATGTTTCATTTTTTTCTCTCACATTATCGTTTTTACACCCACAATATGCACAACGTGCATGCTGATTGCTGTTATACATCCTAAACTGCTTGCGGAGGTAACCACCAGATTGCATGAAATTTATCCACAATTTCAGTAAAGGAGCGTACGGCAAAGTTTACCTTGCACGACGAAGAAATACAAAAGAGCACTATGCTGTTAAGGTAAGCAACACGTAACAAGTAGTCAACTCACAACCTTGCTCTGCTAATAACGTTGTAATGTTAACTCTACTGGGGTGGAGAGGGATTTTATCAAAATGGGAAACATTTTATCTGATTTGATAATATAATGATAATGTAAAGTTCACTGTCGTAGAGTAGTCACTAGAGGTTGAGAACACATCTCTCTGAAATAGAGTGGTCACTAGAGGTTGCAAATAAACCTCTCTGTTGTAGAGTGGTCACTAGAGGTTGCGAACAAACCTCTCTGTTGTAGAGTGGTCACTAGAGGTTGCGAACAAACCTCTCTGAAGTAGAGTGGTCACTAGAGGTTGCGAACAAACCTCTCTGTTGTAGAGTGGTCACTAGAGGTTGCGAACAAACCTCTCTGTTGTAGAGTGGTCACTAGAGGTTGCGAACAAACCTCTCTGTTGTAGAGCGGTCACTAGAGGTTGCGAACAAACCTCTCTGAAGTAGAGTGGTCACTAGAGGTTGCGAAAAAACCTCTCTGAAGTAGAGTGGTCACTAGAGGTTGCGAACAAACCTCTCTGAAGTAGAGTGGTCACTAGAGGTTGCGAACAAACCTCTCTGTTGTAGAGTGGTCACTAGAGGTTGCGAACAAACCTCTCTGTTGTAGAGTGGTCACTAGAGGTTGCGAACAAACCTCTCTGTTGTAGAGTGGTCACTAGAGGTTGCGAACAAACCTCTCTGAAGTAGAGTGGTCACTAGAGGTTGCGAAAAAACCTCTCTGAAGTAGAGTGGTCACTAGAGGTTGCGAACAAACCTCTCTGAATTTAAATCAGACAGGGTCGGGTGATCTTCTGAAGGTTACCACGCTATTTCCCATTGTTCTGTCTCCAAACAGATATAAATAGCTAGATTTAAAAAACTAGAACTATTTAAGGTCATGAAGAAGGAAGATTTGATCAGGAAGAACATGGTGGACCAAGTAGTGACGGAGAGGGACGCTCTAGCCCTCGCTAAATCTCCCTTCATTGTCAAGCTCTTCTACTCGTTCCAGGTCAGGAGTCAGTACTCGCACGTCATTTCTGATCATATGTTATCATACTGTATTGTGTTGTACTTTTTATAGGTCGTGACTCGTTTGACTCCAAAATTCTGTTGCTTCATTTTCGAATTTCGATGTGCCAGAGCGAAAATTGACTCGTGAAAATTGTACGTTTTTTGTGTTTTTATATTTCCGTGGGGCGTGGGACACAAACTGGCTAAGTCGGCTTACTTCAAACCGTTTCCTGGTCGGATATCTTAATTATTATTATCTTTAGCAAGGTCCTTTACAAACTAATAAATGGTATAAACTATTGGTTACAATTATGTAACGATTACTTTTTCAGAGTAAACAAGAAGTTTATTTTGTGATGGAGTATCTGATAGGAGGGGACCTCTGTTCTTTCCTAAGGTTAGCCCAACAATCACTTGTTTTTTTCCGGGCAGATACTGCCAAATTGTGATCATATTTACCCGCCGAAAAAGCGCCTCCCTGTTGGCGCCCCTCCCTAAAATCTCTTTTTAGAGCAGTTTTGCTAGTACCTCAGTTTTGCTAGTACCTCTGTTAATATTACAAATTATGAATATTAACATGAACCAATGTCAAATTCTCTCCATCAGTTACGTTGGGTGTCTGGAAGAAGATCACGCAATAGTGTACGTAGCAGAAATAGCCCTGGCTCTCTGTTACCTCCACACTCACGGCATTATCCACAAGGACATCAAACCTGAGAACATGCTTATCGACCGTGCGGGCCATGTTAAACTCACCGACTTCGGCCTCTCCTCCATCAGACTCCAGCGGAAATTAACAATAAGTGACCTGGTGTACAGCCCCTACACGCGATACAGTCCCTCACGGAACTGGCGAACTCCCGGACAGTTAGCTTCCTTGACCACCAAGATAGCGTTTAAAAGTCCGGGTCCTGTCAGCTCACCTTTTTTGTCGTCCCCCACAGCCAGTATAGCTACTCCAATTACTCGGAGGAAGAGATTTGTTCCTAAACGGTGCTCCTTCGGTAACCTCTCCAATAACAGTCTTAACATCACCAAATCTCCCACACGTTTGAGTGTAGTTAAATCGCCTGGCTGTTTGCCAGTTGTGTCGCCTGGCTTTCTGCCAGCCCCCTCGCCTGGCTCTCTGCTGGCTGTCTCTCCTAACACCAGTCTCATGGATTCCAGCCCGGGTAACTCCTCAATAGTTTCTCATTACCGAGACGAAGACATCTCTTTCGGTGAAAACGACGATGCTGATCTCAGTGGTCATGATGAAAACTCGGGTTGTCAGAATGAAGACAAACCAGATTGTCAGAGCAATGAAGACAAATCAAGTTGTCAAAACGACGACAAGTTGTCAAAACGACGACAACTTTGTCAGGACAACGATGACAAGTCAGGTAGTGACGACAGATCGGAATCAGGCTGCGCTGAAGTACGTCAAGATGTGTCACGTGTCATCGGCACGCCTGACTACATTCCACCGGAGCTGTTGTTACACAAGACCCACACCATAGCTGCAGACTGGTGGTCATTAGGCGCGTGTTTCTACGAGATGTTAGCCGGTGTGCCTCCTTTTCATGACTCTAATGTTCCTGATATCTTTAGGAATATTCTTAATCTGGATTTGGAGTGGCCGGAAGATATGTCTACCAATGCCAGGGAAGCTATAGAGTTGCTCCTGAAAAGTGAGCCACATCAGCGGGCAGGTCTTGATGAACTTAAAGAGCACATTTTCTTTGAAAACATAGACTGGGAAAATATGTTAGGAATGGAGATGCCGTTTGTTCCTGAGCCTGAAAATGATACTGATACGGGCTATTTTGAGGGACATAACTCTGCTTTTAACATTAAGCTCAGTGACTTTGATGGGTGCACTCTGGTGCGTGAGTAAATTGTGATTAAGAGTTAGATAATATTATGTAGTTATAGTTTGGGCTCCAGATTTATGCAGAATTTAAAGTTTAAGATTTGATCTATTTTTAGTAATTTAAATTCGAGGGGTACATTTCCACCCAATTATAAACGGTCGTTTGGAGTTGTTTTGTCGTGGCGCGGAGTCGTTTTCTGTGGACTTAATCGCGCGCTTAGAAAGTCCGCAAAATTTGAATTGACGTCAATTCAAATTAGTCGCGACGTAGGTGAATGACATGACCCATAACAAAGGAGTAATTGAGCTGATATAGACCACTTATTTCTGTTTTCATTCAATCTTTTCATTTTCCGAAGGATTTGTCAAGTTGTGTCGTATCCCATTTCTTGTCCTATGATTCAAAAACTGAAAATGATTTTTCCATTTATTCGGCGATTTTGACTTCCAATACTTCAAATTGTTCTCATACAATCCTCTGTTTACTGATTAATTGGTCATTTGATAAAATATTTGAAAATGGGACAGAATTTGTAAAATATGAATTTTCGTTTTGTTAAGATTTCTGCAGTGAGGTTCCTCCGACCGGAATCAAACTTATAGCACCCCAATCGTATCATTTGCCATCTATAGTTGACTGAATAATTGGTTTCGGGTGAGAAATTCAGTCAAAACTGTAAAATTTCGTTCCTGGAAGTTTCATCTTCAAAAACTGAAAATGGGACAGAGAATGGGACAATATGATTTTTCAATTTTCTTGGGGATTTTGACTTCCAGTGCCTCAATTTGGTTTCAAACCATCATCAATTAACTGACTAATTAGTCTCTGAGCAAAAGATCCACCCAATCTGTCAAATTTGTGTTCAGAAAATTTCATATTTGAAAATGGGACAGGATTTGTAAAATATGGATTTTCGTTTTGTTAAGATTTCTGCAGTGAAGTTCCTCCGACCGAAATCAAACTTCTAGCACCCCAATCGTGTCATTTGCCATCTATAGTTGACTGACTAATTGGTTTTGGGAGACAAATTTAGTCAAAACTGTAAAATTTCGGTCCTGGAAGTTTCATCTTCAAAAACTGAAAATGGGACAGATAATGGGACAATATGATTTTTCAATTTTCTTGGGATCTTGACTTCCAGTGCCTCAATTTGGTTTCAAACCATCATCAATTAACTGACTAATTGGTCTCTGAGCAAAAGATCCACCCAATCTGTCAAATTTGTGTTCAGAAAATTTCATATTTGAAAATGGGACAGAATTTGTTAAGTATGAATTTTCGTTTTGTTAAGATTTCTGCAGTGAGGTTCCTCCGACCGGAATTAAACTTCTAGCACCCCAATCGTATCATTTGCCATTTAAAGTTGACTGAATAATTGGTTTCGGGTGAGAAATCAAAACTGTAAAATTTCGGTCCTGGAAGTTTCATCTTCAAAAACTGAAAATGGGACAATATGATTTTTCAATTTTCTTGGGATCTTGACTTCCAGTGCCTCAATTTGGTTTCAAACCATCATCAATTAACTGACTAATTGGTCTCTGAGCAAAAGATCCACCCAATCTGTCAAATTTGTGTTCAGAAAATTTCATATCTGAAAATGGGACAGAATTTGTAAAGTATGAATTTTCGTTTTGTTAAGATTTCTGCAGTGAGGTTCCTCCGACCGGAATCAAACTTATAGCACCCCAATCGTGTCATTTGCCATGTATAGTTGACTGACTAGCTTGAGTTCGTTTGCTAGGCTGAGCTGCGCGCGGCCTCGCTTTCGTGCGTAATGTCTTAATAAGGTAAATCGCGTGTTCCAAATATTCCAAATTTTCTTCCATGCGCAATAGATGTTTCAGGACAAGAATCGTAAAGATGTCGCCTAAGTTGGTTGGAACATAATGATAATGCAAATGTAAGATCCGTGCGGAAATGATCATCGATAAATTATACTGTTCGGCGAACACTACCGAAGAGAGGAGCCCCTGTAAAAATGTTACCATTCATACCATGGTTTGATGGGCGACACTGTCGCCGCGACAGCTGCATTTCAATTTTGAGATTGTGGCCCAACTGGGATTCCACCTCGTAACAGCAGACCAGGGGAGTGACCAACTTAGTCACTGACACATTAATTATTGTATGTAATTGAGTGGGTGACATCTATACAATTCTGAGAATAAACCTTGGCACTCGGGCGACATTTGCACGACATTCTTACAATTTTGCTAGAAAATATCTTCGTGCGTCTCGTGAGACAACATGTTGGCAATGTTGTTAACAAGGGAGTATATAATTTATAATGATCCAATACAAGCAGTACACTGAAAAGATCGAGTAATTGGTAAAAGAAGAAATGGAGCTTCATCAATCATTGCAAACAATCAATATTTGGTATTTTCGTTAAAAATTAATAAATAAATCCAACTTTGTCCATGAAATATCTTCTTAAATGAATTTAAGGTAAATTGAAATGACTGGTCAAAATTGTATCATACATAACTAGGAAATTAATGGGAAATGACACCGAAGAAATTTGTTGCAAAATATCTCTATGCAGTATTAAGAAACTTTGGCAGTTCATACATAACAATTTAACGGGCCAAATTAGTTCTTTCGATCAATCTGGCGCAACAAAAGTTATAACATTCAGTTTGGTTCAGCAAAGCTATTGGAGTCCATCAGCATGTCTAACTTTTCTTGCAAGAAATCCAGCACATCCGCTATGATAAACAAATGTGTATCGTCTAGGTCTGATATGATGAACCTGAAAAATCGGGGAATTTAGAGACACAATTAGAGACACAATTAGAGACAAAAAACGAAAAACAAATTGATAGATAGATATGAATTGTTGACTCAATTTGTTTTGATATAAGATAATATTACGATAATAAATTAACTTTATGTTGGATCATACACATGATATTGTCAGCATTTTACAGACAATCCCTCAGTTAAAATAAAGATGGTCATATGATTCACCTCTGGCCGACTGCTCCATTTTCATCAATATGCACCAAGAATTGTTTGACTGCTGCATCACATGTTAACAAAACTCCTTTAGTTACATTTACCATCGCCTGTTCGATTATATGTAAAATTTATGTTTACAGCTAGAGTTGATAAGGTACATTTTACATGACGTGATAGAGATAAACAAATTAAACATGGATAACAGCTGAAATCTGAGGACTAAGACTAAGATGATCATTTAGTAAAACAAAGATACAGTTCAGTGAAAACAAACAACAGTCTCGCATGAACAACGGAGTCAAATGAAACGACATACATTTTAAAGATTAATCTCCATCGCCCATATTAACACTTAGAAAATAACAATTTAAATAAATCAAAGAAAACCCTGAAAAAAATCATGTCTAAGTCTTAATGGACAAAATATCGCGAGCCAATTTCCCAGTATCATGAAGCTGTTTCACTTCCAACAACATGGACAATAAACAAGTCCCAAACACAATCCCGAGGTATAACCGTGCAGGGAGCACAAACCCATCTTTTTGATCCCGCTGTGAAACACCAGATTTACCACGTTTAGTAGATTGTTCGGATGAGAGAACAGAGATAAGTTCAGCTGTTTCCTCTGCTGTTTCCTTCCAGAATAAAACGTACGGAAGGTTCGAAGGACCGGACAGCTTACACAGTTTGCTTTCACGGATGATTTCACATTCTTTAACCGGACAAACAGACTCACATCTCTTACCGAACAAGTCTAGATGTGAAACTTTAACAGTTTTGTTAAAACTATTGAACTCCAGTCTGCCGATTATACAGCTGATAAAAGCGGGACAAGAAAGCAAGATAAGAGTTGCAGTAGATAAGGCAGTACAGAAGTACTGATAGCTGATGTCTGATGTGACCAGTTGGTAAGACATAAGTGATAGGTTTCCAATACTAAGGCCCACCAAACCAGCATGCGACCCTAATTGTATCGCACGTAATCTTTGCATTGTTAGTGCTGAAAGTTTTGTAACGACAACACTCCGTTTTATTCCAGTTTCCGTTGAGAATTGTCTGATCCGCCGGGACGTCACGTGATGAAATGATGTTGTCCCGTGGTATGTTGATGAGTCACGTGCACTGGGAGCAAGACATACCGGAGAACAAGACGCACGTGTAGTTGTAGAAAGAGCACGTGTAGTTGTAGAAAGAGCACGTGTGATGTTTGAATAAATATGCGAGTAACATATTCCACCAATGACCATCATCTTCCCTGCTATGAATTATAGGAATATTAAACCGCTTGATTTTAGCAAGTGCCCTCGACGTCAACCAAATAAAGAAAAATAGCTTTTCAAAGAAGTAAGGTTTAAAATTTGGGATTAACAATAGAAAAACAATTGAATTTACTACAAATTCATGGCTTAAATTTCTCTTCCATTGAGGGCTGGAATGTATCTATCATACCTTCAAAGTCCAAATATTCGTTATTTAAGTTTATCTCAAACAAAACATTCGTAAATTAATATTCAAATGTGTTAAAGTGTATCTGATATCGTCATTTTTTACTTTCGTCTCGAATCTCGATTACATATTTCAATGCAAAACAGAAGATCTGTGGGAACTCATCCTATATTTCAACCATCATGAAATATCAACATATATCAACATATATCAACATATATCAACATATATCAACATATATCAACATATATCAACATATATATCAACATATCCCAACACTGAACACAGCCTCAACTCCCCATACTCTGATCACTATCATGACTCAGTTCACTCCGGAGTCTGGTAAGGATACCCTCAAGTTCCTTCACTCTGCCGTTGTGCGACTTAGCTAAGCTTTTGTACTGGTTGTAGTTCATTTTGGGGTCACATGGCATTATCATGCTGTACTGAGCAAGGATTAGAGCTTGTCTTCTCTGCTTCTGCAACGATAAGATAAGATTACTATACGCTTTAAACTTAAATACAAACTGAATTCAGGAAGGTTTTTTGTTTGAGATATGTTATACATACCACTAGACAATATTGCAGATATCAGATGTAATGAAACGTAATTATATCTTGAAAACTGTTTCTTTCCCAACTACAAACCTTGTGCCAGATAAATAATAGAATTAAACAACTATTCAAGGTATCTAAGTTTGTACTAAGTAATCAGTATCTGTTCTTTGAACAATAATCCAAGTTTTATCTCGTACATACCAGCTCGTAAAGCATAACATCACAATTACATACCAGCTCGTAAAGCATAGCATCACAATTACATACCAGCTCGTAAAGCATAGCATCTTGATTACATACCAGCTTGTAAAGCATAGCATCACAATTACATACCAGCTCGTATAGCATAGCATCACAATTACATACCAGCTCGTAAAGCATAGCATCACAATTACATACCAGCTCGTATAGCATAGCATCACAATTACATACCAGCTCGTAAAGCATAGCATCACAATTACATACCAGCTCGTAAAGCATAGCATCACAATTACATACCAGCTTGTAAAGCATAGCATCACAATTACATACCAGCTCGTAAAGCATAGCATCACAATTACATACCAGCTCGTAAAGCATAGCATCACAATTACATACCAGCTCGTAAAGCATAGCATCACAATTACATACCAGCTCGTAAAGCATAGCATCACAACTACATACCAGCTCGTAAAGCATAGCATCACAACTACATACCAGCTCGTAAAGCATAGCATCACAATTACATACCAGCTCGTAAAGCATAGCATCACAATTACATACCAGCTGGTAAAGCATAGCATCACAATTACATACCAGCTCGTAAAGCATAGCATCACAATTACATACCAGCTCGTAAAGCATAGCATCACAATTACATACCAGCTCGTAAAGCATAGCATCACAATTACATACCAGCTCGTAAAGCATAGCATCACAATTACATACCAGCTCGTAAAGCATAGCATCACAATTACATACCAGCTCGTAAAGCATAGCATCACAATTACATACCAGCTCGTAAAGCATAGCATCACAATTACATACCAGCTCGTAAAGCATAGCATCACAATTACATACCAGCTCGTAAAGCATAGCATCACAATTATGTGAAAACTCCTCCAAACTCCTCTCGAAAGGAGGCACAGCTACTTCAGGGCCAGGTTTAGTGGTAACACTGTCTACCGTGGAGTTCTGGGTAAAGTTCACTCCTGCACTCTTCATTAGTGTCTGGGGTAGGGTTATAATTAGAAAGATAATTAGATAATTAGAAAGATAATTAGGGGTGTTATAATTAAAAGTTCTCCAAGTTTAGATGAATACCATTTAAAATACTATAAATATTACAAGTATTACAGCACTGCACCCTGGTTGTATTCAACAAGAAATCAAGTAACGGGGTATAGATACGTGAAGGAGCTTCAAAAGCTAGCATTATATCGGGGTCGTACCTGCATAGTGCATACTGTATCGACAATGCTAATCCTCTCCAGTTCTACACAGTATAAAAGTAAATACTCACGTGTAAGCTAGTTTTAAGAGTGACCATGTTTGGTAAATACTCACGTGTAAGCTAGTTTTAAGAGTGTTCATGTTCGGTAAATACTCACGTGTAAGCTAGTTTTAAGAGTGTTCATGTTCGGTAAATACTCACGTGTAAGCTAATTTAAGAGTTCCATGTTCGGTAAATACTCACGTGTAAGCTAGTTTTAAGAGTGTCCATGTTTGGTAAATACTCACGTGTAAGCTAGTTTTAAGAGTGTCCATGTTTGGTAAATACTCACGTGTAAGCTAGTTTTAAGAGTGTCCATGTTCGGTAAATACTCACGTGTAAGCTAGTTTTAAGAGTGTCCATGTTTGGTAAATACTCACGTGTAAGCTAGTTTTAAGAGTGTCCATGTTTGGTAAATACTCACGTGTAAGCTAGTTTTAAGAATGTTCATGTTCGGTAAATACTCACGTGTAAGCTAGTTTTAAGAGTGTTCATGTTCGGTAAATACTCACTTGTAGGCTAGTTTTAAGAATGTCCATGTTCGGTAAATACTCACGTGTAAGCTAGTTTTAAGAATGTTCATGTTCGGTAAATACTCACGTGTAAGCTAGTTTTAAGAGTGTTCATGTTCGGTAAATACTCACTTGTAGGCTAGTTTTAAGAATGTCCATGTTTGGTAAATACTCACGTGTAAGCTAGTTTTAAGAGTGTCCATGTTTGGTAAATACTCACGTGTAAGCTAGTTTTAAGAGTGTCCATGTTTGGTAAATACTCACGTGTAAGCTAGTTTTAAGAGTGTCCATGTTCGGTAAATACTCACGTGTAAGCTAGTTTTAAGAGTGTCCATGATCGGTAAATACTCACGTGTAGGCTAGTTTTAAGAGTGTTCATGTTTGGTAAATACTCACGTGTAAGCTAGTTTTAAGAGTGTCCATGTTTGGTAAATACTCACGTGTAAGCTAGTTTTAAGAGTGTCCATGTTCGGTAAATACTCACGTGTAAGCTAGTTTTAAGAGTGTCCATGTTCGGTAAATATTCACGTGTAAGCTAGTTTTAAGAGTGTCCATGTTTGGTAAATACTCACGTGTAAGCTAGTTTTAAGAGTGTCCATGTTTGGTAAATACTCACGTGTAAGCTAGTTTTAAGAGTGTCCATGTTTGGTTTCAGTTCAGTAGAAAGATCCGGTACTTGGGGTTGAGCCATAATTAGCTTTCAGTCTTGCTAAACCTAGTAAAGAATTACATTGATTGAATAGAATAAAAAGTGAATTTAATGTGGAATTTGTAATGTGGACAAAATTATATGCCATATTATATTAAGCGATAAATTGTTAAATATACAAAAATTTGAATAGCTTGACAGATCGATCATTGTCAAAGAATCAGAGGTCAATAAGTTGATATATTATTCAATTTTTCGATATTAATTCATATTTTAGAAAATTCTGGAAATACGCTAGACAAAATTCGACGTTTAAATAAATCAGCAAACTTATTCAATCAAACTGAAAATGATCTATAAAGTTGATGGAGAATGTTAAGAAAATTAATTACCAAACCCCATTCTAACAATTGAAAATAGAAAAGGGTAGAAAAGAAACGGAGCAACAAGTATAGACCAAACAAAGTGCAAATATCATAATTTATGTCACTATCCAAATTGTCAATGTCATGAAAATTTCGGATCATCAAAAGCAAGATCAGGTTCAATTAAACCCTTAGTCTGATCTGATTGTTCTTGTTGGACAGCACTGACAACAGTCTCCGGATCAACCCACAGACTGTTCTCATCTAGTGAATACACCCACTCCAGACCCTCTGGGACACCCTCCACTGCATCATTGTACGTTAAATCAATGTCATCCAACTTACTTATATCCTCTGAATTAGTCAGGAAACTAAGTATTTCAACCGCTTTTTCCTTCAAAAACTCGTGTTTTGAGAGACAGAAGGTGCCAACTGGCAAGGGTTTATTGCAGTTTACAATAGTAGTGTTTTTATATTGATTCTGTTCGGAGTAATTTTGGTGTAGTAGCCGGAGAACATCGTTGAGTGCCATGAAGACAGTCATTTTGTCAGTCACTGACACCACCCCCCTACCTGGTAGAGGTAGTGTTTCTTTAATCTCAGCCAGGGCTTTAATACACCTTATCAATAATGCCGGATCAAGGGTCTTGCCGATGATCCCTTCAAATAGTTGTGTGGATACTGGTCTCTGGATCTCATCTATATAATCTGTAGGAGTTTCAGTATGGTATCTAACTTGACGTTTCTGAGGAGCATCTCGAGGAGTTTCACAGACATATGGCAGATTCTGAGATTGGTATTGGGTCACATCTGACTGAGGAGTGGGGAGATGAGGAGAGGGTGTGTTCTGTAATTCATGAGGATAGAAACTTGACGGTCCCGGGATTGGTTGGTGTGGAGACGGTGCAACCAAGGAATTGTGACTACTGCCGGGTTGTTCTGACCAATACTGACCAGGTACAAAACCAGGGACCTGCTTAGGGGGAGAGCTTTCAACTGATGGAAAATGGGATTCATCAGCTGGGTCAAAGCATTTTATGTTGGTATTATCAAAAACATTTGGTATTGAGGTTAGAGGACTCTTCAGTCGTATTTTAAAGTTTTCCGTCTCAGTCCCTTTTCCACTATGATGAAGAGATTGACCCTTAGGACTAGAGCGACTGATTGATGAGGAGGTGCTAGGATTTTTCACTTTAGACGAAGGTTTAAAGTTAGGGAGATATTTGACTTTTGGTGCAGGTAGATCGTGGAAAGGGGCTAACTGTGACGCTGAAGATAAGATAGGTTGAGTTGATGTGGGAGGTGGTGGCAAACTGGGGCGCTCATTTACGACACTGTTTGGAGAATAATGGTCATAATCCTGATTGAATCTTTCTCTGTTTATATTGGGAGGTACAACATTATTCCGGGTGGAATTTTTTCGAGCAGGCTCTTTTTGGGATCTCGTTCCTCTGTTCTTCATAGCGTCAAATCTGCAAACTCGATTTCCTACATCATGAGAAGATTGCAGTTTTGGCCGTTTAAGTTTGTCTCTAAGATCACGGCCAGAATTAGCGGGTACCACGGAATTGGCAGATTTTACCTGGTTTTGGGTTTGGTGCAAATTATTGCGCCTGGACGTAAAAGGAGGGGGTCCTGAAAGTGAGTCTAATCCGTCAGGAATATTAGAGTTGCTGATCAGGGGTACTTTAGAGTTGCAGATCAACAGCCGTTTTTTGCTCATGATCTGGAAGGATTTATTCATTTACTTCATCATTATAGATCTGGATTATTGAAAACAATTTCAACCAAGATAGTAGATAATGCATGATACGATCAGAGATTTTGCAGGATGTAACTAACATTTTAATTCAAGGTAGGGGGAGTGTAAAATACAGTATATTTGTTTGCTCAGGTTTTGAGCAAGAATAAGCATGATCATCTAATTAAAAAAAATCAAACAATAAGACTAAGAAAGGAAGAGACAAGATCATTTTAAAGGTGACAACTCACAAAATTTAAAAAAATGAATAATAAAAGAAATCAAAATCGAAATCTCATCAATATTATTAATATAACACAAATAAGTTCCCTATAATTAACATTAGAAATGTAAACGGGCATCCAGAGTAGTTGTGTCACAGGACCATACTAGCCAACTTTTCAGTCACAATCGAATATCATTTCCCTGAAAAGAAAGATGCTTCAAAACTGAACTCTGTGGTGAAGATCATATATAAGTAAACAAAGCATTTAAATAATATCAAATGAGTTTTAACTATGTTTAAAACTTACTTTAGTTTCTCTTTGTCGAATGTAACGGGTTGCAGTGGATGGTTCTCGGCCAGGAATGCGGTAACCTTGTTCATTCCTTTTGGGTATTTGAAGCTTACACTGCATTTCTTATTTGTTCCATTAAATTCCCAAAACTCACATTCACATAGGTTCTGGGGCAAACCTTTCAGACCAGATTTAGGTTTCTGGAAATAGGTGAATCATTACCGTAATCCAAAAATTTTATAAAATATAAGTTCTTGGACCTTGTTAGAAAAATTCAACACAATATTTCAAATTGTCATGATATTGTTTTACACTAACCGTAAGATTAACTTTCATGATAACATGGTCAGATTGTCCTGGTTTGGTTTCGTATTTCCTTTTTGGTGGCTTTGATGGCATACTTTTATTAAGCCACTGATACAACGTAACTCTGTTCTCTGGCCTCACAACAAAGGAAGTTTCCAGATCAGCAGTTAGCAGGGCATGTCCCCATTTGAACCCTTTGAAGGATATCGGGTTTCCTTTGTCACTTTTTGCTTCAATAGACAGCTGGGATTTGATATCGAATATTTAATTGCCTAGTTGATCCAGCCGATAGTAATTATATATTGCTTTCACTCGGATAAGATTTTAACATTAAGTTTTTCACTGTTGATAATTGTAATCCCCAACAAACCTTGGCCTTATCAACGATTCAGAGAATTATCTTCAAAAAAGTTTTGATTTAAGACTACAAAACCTACCCTTTGCATGCATATAACACTCCTGCGATACGTCCTACTGATCCAACATGAATAGTATTTACTGTCTACCAAGCGCTTTGACTGCTCCAAATCTGAAAATAACATATTAGACTTATTACCTTTGATAATACTTACAAACAATCATGTATAAATGGAACATGTTAAAGGACCAGTTAACTGAAAAAAAAGTTATCCTCATATTTTGACAGATTGTGACAAATAGCAAACTAAGCAACGAGTCGAAATTCCTAAATCTCTAACTGCTCTCTAACGCGTGTAATTAGCGTTTGTATTATTTTGGCGATGACGTCATATAGTCCCTTGCACGCACAGAGCAGCTCGTGAGACTGTATTTTACAGGTAAAAATGGACATAATACAATGTTTCTCCCCCAAATAACTCGAAAAGTAAGTGTTTTAGGGTACATGTTGCTTCATAAGTTGTATATAAACATGGCCATTCTGCACAATTTGCACTCATTCAAAAATCTGTTTGGCCTTCATAGCCCAATTTACGAGATACCCATATTTTTGCATGATTTCTGGAACCGGAAATCAGTTTTTCGCCAATAACTGAAAAAGTAAGCACTTTAAGGCATCTGTTTCTTCGTAAGTCATATATTAATATGCTAATTGCGGTTCTTTTGCACCCTGTCTAAAGACTCTATCACGATCCTATCGAAAATGGGCTCAGCACCACGCCCAAAATGGTTTTTGGCGAATTTCTCGAAAAGTAAGGATTTTAGGCCATGTGTTGCTCAATAACTCCTATATAAACTTGCATATGCGGCTTCGTTTAAGCCCATTTTGAAGTCTCCACGACCTTCAGAAGCAAAGGGTCGGTTACGTTATTGGGTCAATATCGGCGTGGTCAATATGTCTCCAACCGAAAATCCTTTATTCATACTTTTGGGAAGGTCTTTGCAAAATTTCGTGAGTATACGAAAATTTGCAGGTTCAATTCCATAAATGTCCATAAATGACTGGACTACACAAGTTTAGAGTTAACTTTAGAGAAACTCATAAATCATTATTATCTAAAATTAAGCTGTCAGTGTCCATGATCAACCTATGGCTACAATGTTTTACGTGAAAATTGAAATGTAAAAATCAGGAGTAATATAAAAAGTGTATTTTTAGATTAAAGTGCTATCTCATAGTTTAAGAATTGTATAGATTAACGTTTGTCGTTTAGCCATCTAAGAATCGATCGTGCCGTAATATATATGGCCAAAGAATAATAGGGTCTTGGAAATTCTATAGTTGTTGAGTGGGTCGATTGACTGAACACGTTTGCACTAATTGGTATTTAATTTTATGATCATACAAGTAGGACGATAACTAGGTAAGTCAAATTCAAAACACTCCGCACACTGTACACTCCAATCAGTATTTAGTAGACCGGGTATTTTTCGGTTCCCACGGCACCGTTCTGATAGGAGCTACTTCAACTAATGGTCCCATGGGTACGGCCGTAAAATAGCCAGACTTCTTGTCTCCTGTACTGTCTGGCACGTGTGGATTAAAGTAAGAGATTTCGCTATGCTAAAAATATAATTGCTCTCGGAACTATGTCTTTTACAGCGAACCATTCGACTGCTCGCATTCTTCCGAACAACTGTAATATTATATTACAGAGTTACACTCTGATCAGCTATATTTAATATATAGCACATTATTTTGTGTATTAGTTTCATGTACTGGGGAAAAATAATCGGTACAGTCTCCCTTCGTTTGTAATGAAGCAATGAAAACAATCCAAAATTATCACATATGACATAACTTGTAATAGCAGAAACTTTCTAACCGTACATTCACCCGCCACTGTTCAAGAACTTATGTCACTGTTTAAAATCCTGACGTGAGCACTGTACATCCAATCAGCTATTCATATAGTTAGGGTGATAGCCAAAACTATAAGGATTTTGTAGAACTAGGGAAATAGTCAGAACTCTAAAATTTGAGTGAGTTACACGTGTTTTATTGACGATGATAAACATTTGTGCATTGTATTACGCTATGCAAGCGCGCACTGAGGGACTTTATGACGTCACGCGGCCACAGCTTATTATTGCAATAACACGCGTTACACGTACGCTAGAGAGTTAGTTCTTTCGGCGATACGATTCTTTACCAGTTTGTCACAGCTGATTTAAATCTTAGCCAAATTGGAGACTAAAAAGTTAGGGTTAGGTTGGGTTGAGAAAAATTAATAATTATCATACCCAAACCCCACCCTAACCAAAACCCTAATTTTTTGCCCCAACAAATTTCACACCCTAGAGTCTCATGCCCTTCAGTCCGGACCACATGACATAGTCGACAGTATAAAAATGATCAATTGATAGGGTTGATCTAATAGGTCACATGGCATCAGAATATTTAGTGAAATAATTTAAAACATCAAAACTTTGACTAACCAGATCCACTATCTGAGTCTCTGTCTGTTTCCTTAACAAATCCTCTGGACATCTTGTATTTATTCGAAAATTCATCATCACCAATTTCACATTTTGTGTTTGTTACATCAGGAACAAAGTCGGGATTGATAACTTGAAATCCATAGCGTAATATTGAATGGCGTAACTGCAACTTGATGTAATTATCTAAGTGCTCTCCCAGTTCATCGATTGCATGAAGTATGGTCTCTTTGTCAACCCAAGATATGGAAGCATCTTTCCTTAGAGGCAACACTCTGATGATTTCCCTCACAATGTTTGAAGCAGCTTTTAGTTGATGGATATCATGAATGCTCTCAATCAGACTGAACAGATGACTAAGTTTCATGTGACTTTTAGGAGTTGAGGGTCGTTTTTTTCTCATCCTTTTACATCTGGATACTTCATAATTATCATCTTTTTTGTTAGATTTGGATGGTGAGTGGTATTCAGAGCCAGAACTCTCTTCATGTCCAAAGTTTGTCTCTGTTGTTACTTGGCAATTTTCACTAGCAGGTTGAACATTACCAGGAGGAATGGCCTCAACAGTGCTAGCTGTTGTTGCAGAGTTCACAAAATTATTTTTATGGTTTAAAGATGGGTCTGCAGCAACAGCTAAATTAAGAATCGGGTATTGAGGGGTTACAAGGCAGCGGTAAGGATTTATGAATTCGCTTAATTGAGGACCAGGACTATGGAGAGTGTTAGGATAAGATCCTGCAGTTGTGATATACTGGACACTGCTCTGCGCAGGGATTGAAGAATGCTGATGCACAGAATAGTTTTGTAGGCTGGAGTTCTGGTGGCTTGCGTCCACACCAATTTGCTGAGTAGGGTAGTTTGGAAATGGAACATCTGGCTGGGCCGGCTGGTTTAGTGGCTCCAGATGCTGTATCATTTGTTGTTGTAAAGCGGGATTGGATCTGTCTTCTGAAATATGGGAATCTTTTTCTGCAACTGTTGCATGTGATGTCATGATACATGTGGTTGTGGAGGATTTGGGTATTGGAATTAAATTCTCTACATCACGCCTTTCTAATTGGGTCAATATCATACTTGCCTTTGGCTCTTTAGATACAGCAGCAGCAGGTGAACTTCTGTTTTTATTTTTAGGTATGGAGCAAGAAGACTTGTTATCAATCAAGGTGTGAAAAGTTATTGGCTGATCTGATAATAAGTCTCTTTTGTTTGCAGAGATTTCATCATAATATGAACCTGATCCTAAATCAGAGCTCTTACTATCCTGCTTTGCATCTTGAATAACACTTGCAAATTTTAAATTATGAACTGGATGTTTGGAATAAGTCCGACTTTGGTGGTCTCCTTTCGCTTTATGGTGGATTGTAGATTTATAGTCAGATCCTTGCCCTTTGCTTTTACATGTTTCAGGACTTGCCTCATAACTTCTCTTTGGTATGCTATCAAACGATTGATTGTCATATAACAAATGGACGATTCTATTTTTTTCTGTGTAATGATGAAATTCAGGATCATTGGAAACAGACTTACACGAAAAAGAAGCATTGTATTGTGGAGAATCTCTGACAAAATGACTTGGAAAAACAGGTTTCTGAACGTTTTTTTGCTTCTTATTTGAGCGTTTTCCATCTATACTATTACCAACTGAAACATCTTCCTGTCTGTATTTAAGCCCTCCAAGATTGGCGATCTGTGGCCTGATACTAGAGGATGATGGAGTTTCAAGCAAAGGCGGTCTATTACTTTGGAAATGATAAGAATTATTCAAATGTATTGTCCTATCTAGTCTATGGTGGGATATTTTTCTTTTGCTGTTGTTACTCCAAACCTGGTCGGGTGGATCAACTTGGTGTGATTTGAATTCCAAAAGGTTTCTAGGACTTGGCTGACCTTTAAACACAACTTTCCGTACATTTTGTTGTTTACTCATAACACGGAACGACTCTGTGATTGACTTGCTTGAAAATGTGCACTTCCCTAAATAAGATTATGCGAAGGATAACATAACATAAATCCATTTGCTAAGATCTGGCGTAAGAAGCAACTACATAGCTCATATCACAGCGGCTGTAAAATGTAAATAATGATTAAGTAAATAATTGCGTGTTATTTCTGTATGTATAAAGAATAAAGATATGCATTATAACTTTGGCTGTGCGCTACCTTGTGGCAGGCTACTATATATAATATGTGATTCATTGCAAATAAAAGTGTGAATCTACTTTTAAACACATCAGCATAATTCTGTAGTAGCAATCATTTTTTAAAAGAAAAAAAGGGGGACCCCCAACCCATGTAGCTGTCAGTTAAACAAAACAAAAATTTCAATTTTATGCCATTTATTACAGAGTAAACAAGTTTACAATAAATCAATTTGATATTTAAAGGAATCCTAATTCAATGTGTAGTATGGTTGTCACTCTTTGAATGGATAAGATATAGGTTGACGGGGCAAAGAAATGTGCGTGCTGTTCGCTATTGCTCACACCAAACGGCAACCTAGTGAATGGTTGTGAGAAACCTCACAGCAAGTAGACCAAAGTGGCTCTTGCTTGTGAACTTATATAAACAAACTTAAGAGACCTTATAGCTCGTCTTCTGAGGTATGATATTGAAGGATACGTCATCCAGTCCAAGTGCTGGGCAGTGGCATAACGAAGGGCCCCGCTGACCCCGCTGTGTGGTAGGGGGGGGGGCATCTTAGGGGGCCCAAAATCGTCGTTTGAATGTGGGACAATTTTGAAAAACTTAACTAACGTACTAGAAAAACTGCGCATTTTGTTCTAGAAACACACTTTTTTAGAAATTTTACCGGCGTATCCTCTAAAATCACATAATTTGTTCAATTTTAGGGAGAGACGCCAAAAGGGGAGGGGGCGCCAACAGGGGGCGCATTTTTGGCGGGGGCACCAACAGGCAATGTTACGCCACTGGTGCTGGGCTTTTTGTCTTCCTCTGATTCTCCTGAGTGCTGCGAGTGTGCTTCGTAGTAGATGTGGAACCATACCTGGTATTTTCCAAACCCAACCGGATGTTCTTTTCCCATCTCCTTTATTGCAGTTTCCACATAAATCCGATTTTGGAGTGACATGCTTTTCTTCTGTCTTGTCCATTATCTGATTTCAGTCTTTCCGATTTTAGATACTCTTCAAAGTGATCTTTTCGAGTTGTGGGATCGAGGGGGTATAGGAGCAGAAGGTATAGGAGAAGGCTTCTTCCCAAGTAGATGCTCATCAGCCTCGACAACAACAATGTGAACAAGTTAAATGATGTGAAGTGTGTAGGTATGAATCTAGTGTGAAGATGTTAATTGAATTTTTATATTTTTATGTAGGGTCATTGTGATATTATGTTAATATTGTTTAATTTATGTATTTTATCAAATCTAGTGTTATGTGAAGCGAAAGGATTTTTCAAACAATGGAGACATAATATAGCAATGGCCCTATATAAAAATTCGATATAAAAATTCAATATAAGTAAAACAAAATCTGATATTTTAACTGCACTACCACTTTTCACACTGGGCAATGAAGCGAAATGGCGAGAACCATGAATGGCATTATATGGTTGAACAATGAGAAGTGCAAAACAAATCAAATCAAATCTGATCTTGTCTTATGTTGTATGACCCGCCGCGCACGAGTGCGCGGCTCTCCTGTATCGTAAGAACGATAAACCTTAGTGAAACGATCGTGGGGGTCACGACGTGATACAAATCAAATTAAACGTGGGAGCCATATATGCTAAATGCAGCGTGCAAAAGGTGAACTTGACGTGACGCGCGAGGACAAACGCGCTGTTGAAAATCAATCACCTCTAGCGAGCCCGGCAGGCCAGGTGGTAAGGTGATTTTTGGGAATCTAATCTCAATCATAAATTTCTATCAGCGCGAGCGCGGTGCTAGTCATTTATTATAATGATGGCGCGGAGCCTAAACTAATGTGTAATGAATTCGAAAATAAGATACAAATTCTAAATCAGAAGTGAAAATTATTTTAAAAATATTTTATTGACTTACTTGTATTCTTAATGTTTAAATTTCATAAAACGATAAGTTATAATGCCTTGTTTCACGTTGTAGTACTGCCGCGCACGAGTGCACGGCTTCGTCATTCGTGGATTTCACCACAAAACCATTGTGTGCAATAAGCTGCCTGCTGATCGGTTTTCAAAAGGTGATACCAGATCGAAATGCTGCGTTAATTGCGCAGCTCCTATAATAGGATACAATACTCACTATATTATTCCATATAACATATAAGGCCTGATCAAGTAGCTTGGGCTTTGGCGACGTCACGAGATATCCTAGTCAGCATTCGACACGTTACGTATATGATCACGTGACCAAGGATTTAAGAATCAGGGTCACGTGATAGAATCGGCGGTCACGTGACTTAAATTATCCCTTTATAACGCAATAAAAGGCATAGTTTTGATCAGAAGGTCATCATGACTTCCAGACTTCTGACTGGAAAGTAAGGTTAAGAATCCTTTACGTGCACGACAGTCCCCTTATCATGACACTTCTAAAATAATTTAACGTTAGTCACATAATCCCTAATATAAGACAATATTCATGCTAAAGTAACTAGACTAAAGATATAAACCACTATAAAAAACTAACCTACTCAGCTAAAGACTTGAGATCAAAGTTACAATACAAACAACAAACGGAACACAAACTCCATAATCGCAATAAACAGAGCTGAAGTAAGGCTACACACTAGGTTATGAAAACAATCTACGGGAGTAGAACATCTTAACAAGTAGTTCCGAACTTCTCAATCAGCCCGTGTCTACACACGATCGATAAGTATATTTCTAGAAGCCGTTCACGTATATATCCTAACAGAGCCAAGTCGTCAGTAATTTTAAATACCCTGTCTGAAAACGCCTCAATATTATTACAAATCCGTGAGTATGGCACAAGTAGCTGCAACTGATCAGCTCTAGTGAAACAAATTTTAGTGAAACAAATTTAAAATTTTATCCTTTATTTTACAATCATAATATAATAATATTTATAAGCCTCCGTTTTGAAAGTTTTAAATTTTAATATATTCACATTTCTATTTAAAATTCAATTTAATGTATAAGTCAATAATTGGCCGCCAAAGCCGCGCATTCTTGAAAACAGAATTAAATTGTTTTTTTTTAAAATTTTAATTTTACAAAGCCAGCTTTGTAAAATTTACTATTAGATCATAATATATCGTCAGTTCTAAATATTTACAATGCAACATTTCATTAATCTACATACAAGCGTACTCCAGCCCCTGCACGCATCCGTTCTTATGCGGCGCGGCTCAAGCCGCGCATGCACGTATTATTTTATACTTTTTGCTTTCTAATAAATATCGTGTCAAATATCGTGTCTAGATCGGACTGCAATCATTGACAGGCCTATAATTATTATTATTATTATAAAACAGGATCTTACCGACAAAAATGATTCTTAAAAATGCCTTAATGCGGTAAACTGTACCCTTGAAAAAGATTTTCCCAATATCTATCACAAAAAAAAAATCTGTTGCATGCAGCTATATCTCTAATTTCGTTCAATTCATACAAGTTGTCCATTTGCAAATTTCTACTATTTAAATCACTTCTTAAAACCGATAACAAGTTCATTCTAGCTCTCCCCAATCTTCCAATGAATAAATTATCTGATTCAATAGCAAAAGAGAGAGCCGTTTGGGCTGGGGTGTTCTCCATACTCCTGAGAATGTGTCCAAACATCTTCCACCGCTGGTGTTCACTACTCTTGGATAACTTTTCAACTTAGCACCTTTCATACAATGCTTTGTTGCTTATCATACCTTTAGGCCATTTTATGTTTAAAATGGACCTGAGGTGTCTACGATGGAGTGTCCATTTTCTCCATGGTTGCTTTCTTAGGACTCCAACTATTTGAGTTGTAAATCAATACAGATACAACTTGAGCATCGTATAACCTCAGCTTTCTTTCAAGGGATATTTTCTTACCAGACAGCAAAACTTTATCAAAGTTCTTAAAAGCAATCTCAGCTAGGATTCTTCTTCTTTGAATGTCCTTCTCAGTACACAGTAAGGAACATAGTGACTTGTTACTTCGCCATGGTTCGTTATTAGCTAATGGCTGACCGTTTGTATCTTGATCAGATTTTTTCGCCAGGTAGAAGGTACTGAATTCAGTTTTACTTTCATTTACTTGGAGGTTCCAGTCTTTGAGAACTCCTTCACTGTAGGAAGCAAAATTCTCAGTTTCTCGATGTCCTCGTCAGCAAAGTCACAATCGTCTGAATATTCCCACTCAGTTGGAAAACCTAGTTCTGATACTAGTGGGTTTGGTCTCCCAGATACAGCTCTGAGGTGGTGTAAGGCTGCTGCAAGAATAAGTGTGAATAGCTTTCCAGATAAACTGTCACCTTGAAAGGCTCCGAGTAAACTTTCAAACTCCTCCGACAGTGAGGAGTTAACACGAACTCTAAATTACCTATTTTTAAATGACCGATATCTTGATTTTTAATACGATTAGAGCGTAAAAAGGATGCTTCCCGGAATCAGCACAATGAAGAGAACAAGATGCTGTTGAACTTTCAATTATTCATCTTCCACCGGTAGTCCCTAGAACCAATGTTTCTAGATCTCCATGAACAGAGTAGTTTAAAGCACGGATATTAAAACACTTTTGACTTTATAATTGTTGGGAAGACTGTTGAATTTGTTTATTGGCTCGCGACTGCAATGTGCGAGAAACCAATCTGTTATAAATAGCAACTTATTAAATTAATTATTTATCAAAATGCAGATTGACTGGACGGATTAGCGCTGTACGAATAACAAGATAAGATGAATGAACAAGACGAAGAGCGCAGCCCCAACCCTGTGGAAAAGTTTTGTGAAGTCCTCGTTTTGTCACTGTTTCTTCTATTTATGTTTCCTAGGATGAGCATAAATTTTCTGCGGCCGCCCGGGATATATAGTATAGACAGTGGCGAACAACCTGAAGATAAATATCCCTCGAGGTGTTTAAAGATGTGCCATACTCTTCAACTAAATGTTAATAACCTTGAAGAAGCTTTCAAAGGTAACAGTGACCTTTGTGAAACAACAGCAGCTCTCTCCCTCGGTGAAATCAGTGTATATAGTTCTCCATTGAGTGCACCATTCAGTAGCTCTAAAGCTTCCATTCGAAGTTCCATGCAATATCAGTACCTCCTTGTGGACTTTCATGCTTTTGTGGTTTTTAGTACAAGTGATGGAACGTGGTGGGCACTCGATAAAACGGCTGAAGGTATATTCATTAGCTGGGGAGAGAATAAACATTCGGTTTTAGAATGTTTCGATGGACATTTACGTCCCAACCCAAGGCGAAGATATAATGAAATGATTTTACCACTTGCCAGTGATGTGTCAGATCGTACTATTGATGTTCTAGTTCGCCGTTTAACAAAAATATTGAAATCTAATAAGTACGATTTGATTGAAAAAAACTGCCAACATTTTGCCAAAGAAATATTTGATAAATTAGCAATAGATAATACTTGGGAACTATCTACAGTTTCTGACTTGACAAGCCCATTAACGCTTTTATCAAGACTCTTAAGAAATTTAAATGGTGGATACTCTCAGGCAGAGTATTTGTACATTGTCTTCCTTTTCTATGAACTATACCTCCTATTCGGAGAGAGCAGAGAAATAGAAACCAACCATTATCTGTTTGTAGTGTACACAGTTATTTACGTTACCGGAATTGAAATATCGATTATGTTATGTCTGTACAATTCCCATTTGTTTTCTTAGTTATTCTGCCGAAACCATGTTAAGTGTAATATACATTGGGCTACTCTGTATTCTCATCTTAGAAGCTAAATATTATTCATTTCTTGGTATCATCAGAAAACGAGCCATTCAGTACCGAAAGATGTGTCAGTCAGCTACTTGGTTTGGAAAATATATATCTTTACCTCTGGGTTATACGATGGTTTATGTAGTTCCTGTTTGTTTAGTTATTGAGTCAGTGCTAATATCGCTGTTTAAATGTGTAGGAATTATACTTTATTCGATACATTTTGTTACAACGCACCAACCACTTGAGATTGACGAGTTTATGACCAATTTGATCAATAAGGTGGTTAATTTAGGTCCTGTTTGTTTAATTATTGCCTTAGTGCTACATTTATTGCTGTTTGCATGTGTAGCAATTATACTTTATTTGATAGATTGTTTTTCGCATCAACCATTTGAGATTGACGAGTTCGTGACCAACTTGACGGTTAATGGCGGTTTATTTATTGAGTCAGTGCTAATATTGCTGTTTGAATGTGTAGCATTTATACTTTATTTGATACATCTTCTTACACCGCACCAACCACTTGAGAATGATGAGAAAGGCCCTGAAATTAATGTTTTTATTCCCATTACATTATTGTATATACCCACTGTAAGACTTCTAAATTTAACCCCTAGATATATACAGTAACACGAATTACTGATTAGCGGATTGAAATACCAGACCAGCTTAATTACAGACTTTATTGCATGACGAAATTATAATAATTAATTGGTATAGGTATTTATATATATTTATGAGGTTGAATGCGATCTCGGAAAGCAGGCCTCCCCAGTGTGAGCTCGAGAGCGGGAGCCCTGCCGTCAGAGGTACGTATCGAGGATGACTCGGACCGAAAATCTTTTCAAGGTTTTTCTGGAAACTACTTTTGTTCAGGCGAAAATATTTTTTCGATTTTCAAAGTCCAGACCTAATATTTTTGAAAGTTTTTCTGGGAACCACTTTTTTCCAGTGTTACCCTGATCATTATGAGCCGAGAATATTTTTCGGGACCTAGCCCTTTTTCCTGAAAATTAATTTGCGCATGTGCCGTGCATAAATTCTGCTTTCTTGTATTGTCGTAATTTGAAGTTTACTTTTTTATTCATATTACAAATAGCTATTATAATAATTTTGAGAAACAACTTTAATTTTATCTGATTCCATAGACCATAATTTCTGTCGGAATTCAACTTAAATAGGAATAGTCCATTTAATGGTAAAATGGTCAAAGCTTTTACAGAATCCATTATCTGGCTGTTTGGAATGAATCTTATCTTGGTAATAATGTAGTAAATCCTGGTATTTCAGTAAAAACCTGGTATTTGACTCACTTTGGTCTACTTGCTGTGAGGTGTCTCAGCTACATGGGTTGGGGGTCCCCCCTTTAAAAAAAGAGAAAGTACATCTACATTGTAGTTTCATAATTTTATAATTCAATAGATTGCTGATTGTTTAGTACACTCTAATGTAACTTACAAAATAAACTTATGACTAAAGTTCTCTTTAAAATAATGCCCAGCTACAAAATTCGTGATCTTTAGTGTACTGTACTGTAATATAATGGACTGTACTGTGAGGCATAGTACTATACTATGTACCCACTTTTTTCTTTATCAGTTGTGACGGAATTGTAATGAACAAAATCCTTATAATCATTTATGATATGTTTGATTTCTTGTTAATGTTTGTCATTCAAATTTGGTAGACGGCCCCAACGTTAATGTGGCTCTTGCTATGTGTTGGTTCAGCCGAATTAATTATTATGTAATAAAGTTTATTTTTCTCGTTAGTTGTCATCCGGCCAAACATTAAGCAACTTATATTGCAGTACCATTTATCAATTAGTATATCAAAATATGTCATTGTAATTTTGCATGGCTGAAATGTAACGCTTGATTTATATATATAATGATTAATTGAATTTTCAAATAAAAAAAAGTAAAATCCGAATTGGAATATTATTTATGAGTCGCATAGTTGAAATGTTTCTTGGGTAAAATTTGTATTGATCCCATTTGATGCGACAAGGCAAAGACTCCTATCAGAAACCCACTATCCGTGTTTTGATTATTAGTGATACTTTTGCAGCATAGACAATGCTCCAGCGAAGATTAACTCAAATTATAAGGAGACAGCTGAGCAGTCGACCTGTTGTTGAGTCAAATCAGAATTTCCCAAAGCCTTTTAAGGTAAGTGGGACAAAGCATGATTCTTAGAAAAGAATAGACTAGAATAAAATCAAATAGATTTTTTTGTATAATAAAATAGCGTACCAATTTGTTTGCAATGTTAAAAAAAACATTTCAGTTGGAGAAAGGAAAGAAATATAAATGGTGCACGTGTGGTCACAGTGAGATACAGCCTATGTGTGATGGTTCCCATCGTAAATCTGGGTACATCCCAGTTAGATTCACGGCTGAGAAAACAGAGACTGCACTATTGTGTTGCTGTAAGAACACCAGTAACCCTCCATATTGCGATATGACTCACTTTAAGGTTAATCAAATAATCTGATATTTATTTATGCTCCAAGTTGGACAATGACAGTTTGAAATGAACGAATGCTCAAATTTTGTTTAAACTTTGCTCAAATTTTGATTTTGATACAATAATTTTCACTTAACCTGGATTTCAGATCCTAAGAGGAAATCTCCTGAAGAACTTTACATCCCCTAAAATAGCTACACCCACTGATAAACCTCTTGTTGCTGCCAGATTACCGAGTTTTCAAAAGTTGGAAGAACGTGAGTGCTATTCTTTACTTTATTCTATTCAACTTTCAGAATCGCATATTTAGTGGTTTGAAAATACGATCACCCAATAAAAAGACATAAATGGTTCTGTTCGATATGTGTTGGGCCCCAAAAAGCCCAACACATATCGTAAATCCGAAAAGGGCCCTAGAAATCGGGGCCTTTTGGGGCCTTTTGACTCTGTATTTTTGGCATGAATTTGGTTCAATGTTTATAGACCATAATCTCCATGTAAATACACTTAAATAAACACAAAAGTACTGTGCAAGTAGTCAGATAATATCATTAAAGCACTTAGCATATATCAAAATTGATGAAATTTAAGTTAATTCTAGGGCCCCAAAAGGCCTTACACATATCGAAAAGCCAAAAAGGGCCCTAGAAATCGGGGCTTTTTGGGGCCTTTTGGGGCGTTGCCCCCCCCCCCCCCTAAGATGTATACAGTTCTCACAATAATTTCGTTATAGGTAAGACATACATGTGGTGTGCCTGTGGAGCCAGCAAGACCCAGCCTTTCTGTGACAACTCACATGCTTGTAGTTCAATGAAACCACTAGCTTTTACACCAGAAAAAACCAAACCCAGGTATGTTTCATACTTAATGTTATATATATACATACTAATTTTTAGCTTGAAATTTTATAACTCCCGATTATTTTGCTTTTCTAAATCCATCAACACTATAATATGAGTAAAGTATTGAGACGTTTAACAGTTAACTTACTCTACACGACCTTGTCAGGTGGTTGTGTCAGTGCAAGCAGACTAAGGATGCCCCTTACTGTGACGGGACACACCTGGATGTGGAGATACAGACTGCGGTTGAGGGACAACCTTTGTAGCTCAAATGTTGACACTACTTTGGTTGTGCTACTCATCAACTGTTTTATTTAATACTCATAGCCATGATTGGACTGGATGGTTATGTGTTGTTGTGGGATTTTATAATTGTTCATTTTTGGACGGATTTGTACCTTAAGGAAACGTGACCCTTTGTTAAGGTGGTAGTGGAAGTTAAACTTTTAATTTATTAAAATATTAAAAGAGATTTATTACATGATACATTGTGTGTATCACATTTACATGTTTGTTTTTGGATCGTAAAGCACTTCTTTTGGAGTTGCAGTGACTTTGTAAATAATAGTTGATAATCAGTCTGTACCACTGTACTATCAGATAAGTTAATATAATTTATAATATTAGTAAGATGCCAAACACTGTGTGCTGCATTGAATTTGATTGAAATTGTTGTGTGATTGTTCACACATTATTGTGTGATTGTTCACATTTTCACACCCTCAGAATAAAAGTAAAGTTTTACAGTTTTAGGAATATTTATCAGTTTTCACAGTATTACTAATTTATTTCCCATACATATCATGCAACTTACTCCAGAGTAACATTACTATTCACTATAGTATTACTTGTCCCTTTTCTTACTTCGCATTTATTCGCCACTTCTACGAATTAAAATTTGCTAATTTGCCTGTAAATCTCACTCTTTACAACTCGATTTGCCTTTATAAAAAGATGCTAATACTGAAAAATACTGAAGAATACAAGAATATATAACATATTATTAACATAATTAACATATTATTATCATAATTAACAATATTATAAGTTACTACCTAAAGTTAATCTAAACAACTTCTAGATAGGATGGTTGTAAGGTCTGATAATCGCTCAGCTCACGTTAAGGTTCTTCGTTCTCTGGTACGTGTTTTATTTGATAATATAGTTTATTCTTGCTCATTAATATTATTTTAAACACTGAATACACTAATTTATACACAAGTTTTCTTCTTTTAAACCCAATCGTAAGATCTTTAAGATTTATACCTGAAACCTGTCCCCTAGCTATTGTACCACAGAACCTGCAATACTCCCGTAGTACTAACTATAACCTTCCCCCAAAATACACTAAAACTCCCCTTAATAATTAACTAACTAAAACCCCCCTTAATAATTAACTAAAACCCCCTCCCTCCATAGGGACAAGATGGAAGGACACTGCCCCTAATAATTAATTAACTAAAACCCCCCTCCCTCCATAGGGACAAGATGGAAGGACACTGCCCCTAATAATTAACTAACTAAAACCCCCTCCCTCCACAGGGACAAGATGGAAGGACACTGCCCCTACAAGGACATGTAGGGTTCCCTTATTAACTAACTAAAACCCCCTCCCTCCACAGGGACAAGACGGAAGGACACTGCCCCTACAAGGACATGTAGGGTTCCCCTTAATAACTAACTAAAACCCCCTCCCTCCACAGGGACAAGATGGAAGGACACTGCCCATATCCAAAAATTTTTTAATTTCCTACATTCTCAATTTTTTCGTTTTCTGTGGCCCGCTCGCTTCGCTCGCATAAAACATCTTTGTATTTGCGCGGTTCAAAGATTTTTCATGGCTGATTCCAGATTCTCAATTTTACTTTTTTAGGGCCCGGAATGCTTTTTAATAGATAATCCTAGGTTACTTTTGGGGGCGAAGCCCCCGAAAATTTTGGAAATTTAAACTAGATTTGGCCTCCTGGAACGAATCTGACAATGGAGAACGATTTTAGCATACTATTTTCTGATCTCAATTTTTATTGGGATAAATTGTCTGGATTCTAGAATCCCTAAACACTTGGCTTAACTAAAGCACGAAATAATCCTAGGTTACTTTTGGGGGCGAAGCCCCCGAAAATTTTGGAAATTTAAACTAGATTTGGCCTCCTGGAACGAATCTGACAATGGAGAACGATTTTAGCATACTATTTTCTGATCTCAATTTTTATTGGGATAAATTGTCTGGATTCTAGAATCCCTAAACACTTGGCTTAACTAAAGCACGAAATAGGAGACAGCATGAAGTATCAAGAGTTTATAATTTTAGTCTGCTCTTTCACTTAAATTCCTACTGAAATATTATCGAAAATTCTCAGAGTTGGCTCTCGAATTTCCTACTTTTTGTCAATAATTTCCTACTTTTAAAAATTTCCTACATTCTTAGAATGCGAGAATGCGGGTTTTTGGATATGGGGGACACTGCCCCTACAAGGACATGTAGGGTTCCCCTTAATAACTAACTAAAACCCCCTCCCTCCACAGGGACAAGACGGAAGGACACTGCCCCTACAAGGACATGTAGGGTTCCCCTTAATAACTAACTAAAACCCCCTCCCTCCACAGGGACAAGACGGAAGGACACTGCCCCTACAATACAAGGACATGTAGGGTTCCCCTTAATAACTAACTAAAACCCCCTCCCTCCACAGGGACAAGATGGAAGGACACTGCCCCTACAAGGACATGTAGGGTTCCCCTTAATAACTAACTAAAACCCCCTCCCTCCACAGGGACAAGACGGAAGGACACTGCCCCTACAAGGACATGTAGGGTTCCCCTTAATAACTAACTAAAACCCCCTCCCTCCACAGGGACAAGACGGAAGGACACTGCCCCTACAAGGACATGTAGGGTTCCCCTTAATAACTAACTAAAACCCCCTCCCTCCACAGGGACAAGATGGAAGGACACTGCCCCTACAAGGACATGTAGGGTTCGACTCCCTCCCCGACCAGTTGGTTAACAAGTGTGTTAACCTTGGCTTTGACATGAACATACTCTGTGTAGGAGAGACTGGTATTGGTAAATCAACTCTCATGGACTGTCTCTTCAAGGCTAACTTTGATGGTGAGTAAACTCTTACTTCCTGGTTACTTAACATATGAACATGTTACGACGTGTTCATATTGGGCATGATCTGGATTTAATTAATCTTCTATCTGCTTTAAAGAGATGTAGTAGGAAATATTACTTGTAGATTTAACGGAATGTATAATTAACTGTATATTCTTATATTTTAAAAAGTGTAGTGACGCGTCCCACAAATATGCAGCTAAACTATGTAACCTGCATACCTGCATACCTCCATACCTGCATACCTGCCCCTCTGGTAGACATACACATTAACAAACCACACTTCATGTCCACTGTAAATTAGAAGAGAGTCCGTGTTATTATATACCTGAGGCTGCTATCTAGTGTACAATGTGTGAGGGAGAAGAGAGGAGTAGTGTTTACTAGTACAATTCTGCTGGGTTATTAGAAGTACACTAATTAGTAAGCTTAGTAATCTATGTGTACTGTGTGGCTCTCCGGTGTCAGCTTACATTACTTATATCTACCAATACACTGCTAGTAGTTATAATATATACCAGTACTGATAATTACATTACATACGAAATAATCAGTGCACATTTATCAGTACATATTAAATAATCAGTACACATTTATCAGTACATATTAAATAATCAGTACACACTACACATTCACTAAGTTATTCATCTACTACAAGACAATCCTCCCTGCTAATTACAGTTTATCGCATATAAGTTCGCTTTACACTCATTGAATAACTTGGCACACTACTTTAAACATAAGTAGTAAATTGACCAGTACACTACAAACCCTAATAACTTTGCACACTGTATCTACACACACTGCACGCCACACCCTACACTTCATATTACAGAACTTACTTTTTATTCCAACTTTTGTAAAGCTTCCCCCCTGAATGATGAAACCAAATAAGGACACAGAAATGTCAAACTTAGATCATTTTGACTACTGCATAAACTATAAATAAACTGATAAAAGCGGAAAGAATTAGCTTTATTCGAACCTTTAACAACTTTTGGGCGATGAAAAATCTTACGAGTATACAGTAGTAAGTAGTGAACCAGTTTACCATATTAGTAGAACATTATAAATACTGATATAACATTCTGATTAGTTTAGATTTGTAGTGTTGATGACTTTAAAAAGTTAGAACATCGTCATAAAGGGCGTGACACGTGTTGAACACTTAGGCACGTGACACGTGTTGAACGTTACCTAACATTAAACACGTGTCAAGTCACGTGTGTTGAATTAAACCTATCAGTTACAGTGTGACACACTAAACACTAAACACTCGTTACAGATACAGTACACTCGCACAAGTCGCCGGGTGTCGAGATCTCAGAACACATTTACAACTTGAAGGAGGGAAATGTGAAGCTGAGACTTGCTATTGTGGACAGTGTGGGCTACGGGGACCAGATCAACAAGGAGAACAGGTAAAATACAAGGAAATGTTTTAAAACTTGCGATATGACAGTTTAGAAGATCCCTAATAGAGATAAAAACGTATCACACGACAATGTTCAATATTGCAGATCAGACTAATTTCACATGTTTAATATAGTATTATATATTTATATAAGATAGTTTTAATATATATAAGGAATTGTTGTATTTATAAGCAGTCTAAACCCAAATTAACAAGTTGATTAACCTAACTTCCACCCACAGTTTCAAGCCACTAGTTGACTACGCTGACGAGCAGTTTGAGAACTACCTCCAAGAAGAGCTGAAGATAAAGAGAGATCTGGTTACCTTCCACGATAGCAGGATACACGTGTGTCTCTATTTCCTCGTCCCTACTGGCCACTCGTGAGTCAAGCTTGTTAAATTGAATCTTTCAGTCGAAACAAAAGCGTCTGGTCAACGGACACCCTGAAAATGTTTGGTCGGTCTGATATTATCAATCATGTTAGTGGTTAATATTACGGAGTAGCTCGTATATCATAATATTATATAATAAAACTATGTACACTCGACGTGACAAGGGTACCACCAAGAATTATATTCAGCAAATCGTTAGTAATAAAAATACCACATTATCGCCATTGGGGACTAGTGTTCAGTGTTCCTACTTGTTCGTCTCAAACAGCCCTATCGCATATAACATGTGGAAACTGGAAAATCATTTTCACCCTTTTTTACCCATTCTAATTTCAGTATTCGCTCTCTGGATCTAGTGACAATGAAGGCGCTGGATAAGAAATGTAATATAATTCCTATCATAGCCAAGAGTGACACCGTCAGCAAGTCTGAACTGGACACCTTTAAAGCTAATGTGAGTTTTAAATGGGAGAGATTTGGAGGTGTTCATTGTTAAAGTCCAGTAATTGTAAAATTATTGTAAATTATTGCAACTTTATTGCAACTTTATTTTAAGTTAATTGTAAAATTATTGCAACTTAATTACAACCCGCTCAGATTATGGAGGAGTTGAGAGCAAATGATGTTGAGATCTACACATTCCCTACCGACGATGAGACAGTGGCTGATGTAAACAAGGAGATGAACGAAATGATGCCATTCGCAGGTACGTGTCAAGAGTTTCTCTTTCACTTTCACTTTCTCTTTCACATTCGCAGGTCTGTTTCAATACACTATTTAACACTATTTAACACTGTCCCCCTCCCCCAGTTGTTGGGTCACGTGAGGACGTTAAAGTGGGTGAGATAACAGTACGAGGGAGGGAGTACCCGTGGGGTGTGGTAGAGATTGAGAACGAACAGCACTGTGACTTTGTGAAGCTCAGAGAGATGCTCATTAGGACCAACATGGAGGATCTTAGGGAGGTGGGTCTTTTCAAACACAAGGATTTGTCTTTTGTGGGAATTTATTAAAGGCTCACTAGTCTCTTGAGTGACTAGACTTGATCAAATTGTGCATTATTTAGAAAGAGACACTATTGTACGTAAAATTATGGAAAACATACTTACTCTCAGGTAATGCAAATGGGAGGGTTTAGAGGGTTAGGTTAGGTAATCTGGAATGTTTGAAAAAGCTCCGTATTTTCTGAAAATTCTCTAACATGCTATATATAACTGCCATGCTGTATTTAATTACTTTAGCTGATCACTTTGTCCGTTGAGAAACTAATAACTAATTGTAGCGTACTCAGCTAAATTAGCCTCGTTAGTTTCTACACGCACAGTGTCAACACGCTCACATTTAAGAAAGTAGACAACTAGGTAACCTGGTTACCTGGTTACCTGGTTACCTGGTGACCTGGTTACCTGGTTACATGGTTACCTGGTTACCTGGGAACTACGTCAGTAGACAGATAGCTTTTACCGGCTTAGTTTCTTTTGGGCTGTTTTAGGTAGGATGAAGTTGCCTCAAATAATTCGGCGTATATTTGGGGAAATTATATTTGAGCTACATAATAATATGGTCATTTGCACTTTTGCAGTATCAAGTTCAACATTTTAAAGGCCGTTAAATATGACGATGGTTACGGCTTTAGGCAGTATCCAGATACAGGGTTGTAACCCACTAAAATACAATATCTGGAGAGATTGGGATAGAGATTGGTTTTTTTATTAATTTTTATTGGTTTTTATTGCGTCGCAACTCCGCAAGTTTGGACTCAGAGCACACTGGCAGAACATAATTACACTTTCTTAGTTTGAACTACACGTTACACACTGCAAACGTCAACACTTTCACTTGTAAAGACTAAAGACCTGACACAACACGAGTGTAAATACTAAGTATTCCACTTGCACGTCAGACAGTAAATCTGGTAACCTGGTAACTTGGTAACTTGGTTACCTGGTAACTTGGTAACCTGGTAACCTGGTAACCTGGTAACCTGGTAACCTGGTGAACCTGGTAACCTGGTAACCTGGTGAACCTGGTAACCTGGTTAACTGATCTATAACTAACTGGTATTATATCTGACTCACATGTTACCCTGACATAACATGTTACTTTATTATATAATACCATAAAAAACTTTCTCTGGCCTCTGCTATAACATTTAGGTCCTCGACATTTCTTAAGGTTTAATCTCTGGAATTTAGGTCGGCTATGAAATATTTCCCACCAAAACTGTAATACGACACTAACAGTGTTATCGGTGTATGTATTTGTCAAGATAAAACACTAATACGGCACTAACAGTGTATGTATTTGTCAAGATAAATGTAAAGATGAGACAGTATTATATAATAGTGTGTATTGTTGAGATGTGTAACCTTACACCGAACACTGTGGCACACTGAAGCTGGTTTCTGTAGGGTGTGAAGGTAACGTCACCTCGTTCATATCATCCGAGTTAGCGGTAACCTGGTAACCTGGTAACCTGGTAACATTGAAGCTGATTTCTGTAGAGTGTAGGGTTTGAACGTAATGTCACCTCGTTAATATCATCCGAGTTGGCGGCCTACAATTCTTACTAACTCCAGATATACCTAGAATTAATAATGTGTCATCGGCTTTGTAAAAATATCATGAGCGAGTAGAAATAAGGGATAATAATAATGTAAATTTGTATTGAAGTGCTGAAATATCAAGTATCTGACCTCACTTTAATTCGAGTATTAGCTCATATTGAAAGCATTACGTCACAGTGCTAACAAAGCCGGTTACAACCCAACTCTTGTTGTTAGTTTGGGCGACTATAAGTACTCGCTGTAATGTATGATCTTATATTGTGTGACTGATTACACGTTGGCGGGTGTAATGGGTTCAGATATGAAACAACTTACAAAACATGTACAGTGTGTATCTTCTGTTTAACTTTAGAGTAGGTGTTCTATAAAGGAACATATTTAGGTAAAATGAAGGTTGATCTTGAAAAAACACATGTATAAGATACAACAAACAACACTGAGTATAGAGATTGACTATGGATATTAGCAGTGTTATAGGTTGACAGTGTACTGAAGCAGCCTGTTTTAGCTGCTGTTATCACACCATGTGTACTACGTAACGCGAAGTTATCATGAAGTGTACTAACAAAACACAGTGATTTATTTTAAACTGGACTATTTTTAAAGTGGTGTAGTCAATTACAATCAGTTTTAACACTTTCAACACTACTATAAACAATAAATTTGAGCAAATAATAATATTTGAATATTATACATATTATTATGTTCAAATTTCACTGTTTTATAATGTTGATATTGTACAAATAATTTTTCATAATTAATTAAACATTTATTTAAAAACAAGGGGAGTATTCTCCCCCCTCTAAAAAGAACTAACAAAATAAAATACCAGAAGGGTTAATAAGTTAATATCAACCATCCAATAATTTTGACCAATAATAACTTAATAAGACCATTCTGTTTGTAAGTTTATTAGTCTATAGTGTTGTGTCGTTAAGTGAGAACTTATATGATAACCTTACTCGGCTCTAATATTTAGGATACATAACAAAATCAAAACGAATCCGGCATGTTAAAACAATAAGTCGCCAGTGCCCGCCAGTCGCCACTTTTTCCTTTTCAAGGCAAAATCCATAATTTTAAAAGGGTTCTTGACATTTCTTAAGCTTAAATCTCTAGAATTAAAGTAGCATATTAATTTGTTAAATAAATTACTTTGATGTCGACCATTTCTACACTTAAACTCGTTAGTCGAGGCAAATTTTATGTATGAGAATACTGTACATTCATCTGATCACATGACCAAACATGGTTCATATTAGTACATTAAATATACCAGAAATTTTGTTCGTTGCACAAGAAATTGTATACCTACCTGTATAAATACTCTCCAAATAGCCCTCTTTACAAGTGTATTATTACAGGTGACACACAGGAAACACTACGAGTTGTACCGACGAGGTAAACTGAAGCAGATGGGTATCACTGACGATGGCGCTCATCCAGTTAGGTAGGTTTCTCTTATTTAGTTATTTGTTTATACATTATACATTATACATTATATTTGTTTATATAATACATATAAAAGGAGCAAAAACTTTATATCTGATGATAATCTGTTTGTTTAAAAACACTCTGAGCCCTCATTCACCCTACAAGAACAGGAGGGGTTCTGGAATCATATAATTGATAAGGAAGTAGTTGAACTTACAAAAGTATAATTTAACTTAACTTAATTAACTTCTTTGATTCAACTTAATTTAACTTCAGTCTACAAGAGACGTACGAACAGAAGAGAGCGGAGCACCTCGAGGAGTTACAGAGAATAGAGAATGAAATGAGACAGAACTTTGTTAATAAAGTCAGGGAGAAGGATCTAGAGCTCAAGAGGAACGAGAAGGAGGTCAGTTACTTTTATTACTTTGTTATTTAAAGCGTTTTTAAGTTGTAGTTACTTTATTGATTTATGATTGTTTTGTATCATTGTTACTGTGTTTAATGTAAATCAGCAATTATATAGTACTACAATTATTATTTTTGACTATCGTAACTTTAATTTAAATCTGCTATTATATCTTCATTTTGGCTGTAATACAATGACTTCAGCTGGCTGCTAAGTATGAAGGTCTGAGGAAAGAAAACAACGAGGAAAAGAAGAGATTGGATGAGGACAGAAAGAAACTTGTAAGTAACCTTAGTTGCCTAGCAACGAGTATCCTTAGTTAGCTACCGACCAGTTACCAGCAACTAGTAACCCTAGTTACAACTTTATTATTTTGTGGTTCCTACCAAACAATTTATGTAATCATTATTAGTACTAGTAGAACGGAAAATTGCGATACAATTTTTTGATTTAAAGAATTTCCAGAATCTAATTTCTAACTACCTACTCGGGGATTTGGAGTTTGTTATTTTAAATAATAAATTAACAAATTTCTTTACTATAGGAGGACGATTTAGCTGCAATAAAGAAGAAAAAAGAGGACTTGGAGCGAGCTACCGCCGAACAAGCCAACGGACAAAACACCAAATCTAAGAAGAAATAGATTACAACTAGCTTTAGACCTTTACATTGCATGCAAAAAAACTTGATAAGGCACTGAGTTTCTATTATTTTAGCAAAAAGAGACATTCCGAGATAAAATTACGTGTTTATAAGTTTATATGTTACTGTGAACTGTTCAAGCCATGCTGTTCGATACATTGTTTGTTTCTAGTTGTAGAAAATAGAATAATTAATGAATATTGAGCAGATTGTTAGATAGTGATAATTATTGAAATTTGTTTGAAATCGATTTTTAAATTTTTCTATCATTCATTCAATTCAATTTGACGTAATATTATCTATCGGACATATTTTCAAACACGCTCCCTTTTTACGTGCAAAAACGGACATTTTCTTGAAAAAGAATAAGTTTTGAGTATTTAATAATTATCTAAAAATTATGAATTTAAACAAATTGCATTCCGTTAAACAATCCCATGTAAGTTAACCTGTTAACTGTAGTATTTGAGAGTTGGCTTCCTAAATGTTGCTATTTCGTTCTGTATATTTTATTTTCTTACACTTATCCAAGAGTTTCTATTTTTCTTCTCTGTCTTTACTTATCTCTCTCCTCTTCTGACAACGATTATTAAAACTTATATATAGGTTTATATACCATTCTTACATCGACCAATGCGTCCTACTTAGAGTCGAAATTTCCGTTCCATATGTTCCGCGGAACTATATTTGGAATGCGGTCGTTTTCTTGAAATCTGACAATACGATTTTCTCAAAACTTTTCAGAAAGTAAGATGAACTATTTGGGCAAGTTTTGAAGAATTAAAATGAGCCAAATTTGAGATACCACTTCAAACACAAGGAAGTATCTCTAAAGAAAGTCCTTTTCTGGTGTGATTTACGTAAGGCGCATTGCCGTTGAAGCAATAAAACTACAATGAGTTTCGCGCGATTTTGACAATAGACCGGCGCGCCCGGCCGGGGCCGGGCGCGCGGCGGTGCGGCGCGCGCAGGTTGATCGAGTTCATAGAATATGCATGCACTGACGTATAGTCGGATCCCAACCGTTCTAAAAGGCTATCTCGTTAGCTTTTCGTGTTAAAAGCGATTTCTCAACGGTCATCACCTCTCTAGATGATTCTTAAAACATTTGGACTTCATTGCATTTTTGAAATAAATGCAATGAGGGCGTTTTCGGCCACACCCTTTTTCAGTGTTTCGCGGTCACTCGAATTTTTGTATTTCGGCTCAGGAAGGTCTTAAAGACTATTCCGATACACCAAAATGTGCCTAATAGCCCCATTTATATACAACTTATGAAGCAACATATACCTTAAAATGCTTCGTTTCGTAAATATGGCCGAAAAATGGTTTTTGGCTTGACGAAGTTCATAATTTCCGTGATTTTTGGCATTTCCGTCTAGGAAGGTCGTAGAGACTATTCTGATACACTAAAATGTACATAATGGCCACATTTATATACAACTTATGAAGCAACATATACCCTAAAAGGCTTATTTTCGGAAATGTGGCTGAAAAACGGATTTTTGCCGAGCGAACAATGACAGTATTCACAAATAGGCTATTGGGCTGTTAACTAGAAAGGTCTTAAAGACTCATGAGCAACATAACATTTGTCACATGATGTAAGATGACTCACTTTGTGTCCAGAAACACCTACAAAAATTGGAGAATGGTCTACTCTATTGGGCATCTCTCTTAATGGGCCAGGACAGCAGCATATTTGTGTCTTACGGAAGGGCAATTTTTAAAATTACGGTTTGTTAAGGTCAAAGGATCGGCTGCTAACAGCAAATTGTTCCCAATTGCCGACTCATGCACATCATATACTCAAAAACGCTCACTTTAGGAGTCATTAGTAAATAACTACTACATGATTTGTGACTACTCCAACAATTTTTCCTTGGCACCAACTTAAATAAAATGTGTTGACCAAAATTCAACTTCAAACTTTTTATTTATTCATGCCATGAAACCATGATATATGTACCAAGAATACCGGACCTTAAATAAATCGGCACTGGATCCGGGCCAGATTGTTCCTTGACCGCTGACCAGTACCCCACTTTATAATTATGATTGATTTTGCTGCCTCGACCAATATTGATCTGTAATCCCTGGATTGAGATCTGTTGGCCGCAGTTTAATTTAGCTAATTTCCTATAATACCGCAGTGGTTTGGTTCCCACTTCATAATGACCCAATATTCTTTTTTTCAGTCGCATAGATTTTCCCATCGTATGATAATGCGTGTCATTCCCTCGTTTTTTAATCAAGTGGTGACTGGCTAGTTCTTCTGTTATTACAGCTGTGAGCTGCCTCGAGATCTTATCTGGGGCATGGGCACTATACTAATACTAGAACATTAGAACTGTAATTCTAGAACCTTAGATTAAGGTAACTTGGCAGAATAGCATTAGCAGGGTTCGAGATTTGACTGAGGGCATTCAGGTAACATACCAGGTTCATGTCACCAGTTGAGGTGAATCTTAATTTCGGCATGCAATGCCTAATAAGTTATAAGCTTATAGTAGGATCACGGGGTTTATATAATAGAAGGTCTCGAGATGCTAATTTTGCTATTTAGGTTTCACATGTGAAATTTTTCAAGCTTTGGGTAAAGTGGATTTTAGATCGGGGAGGGGGTCTAAATGACCAAAATCTGAACGATCTCTTACTTACGGGGCACTACGGGACAAGGGACGGATATCGGGCCCAATAGCTGTTTTTTAATGAGAGGCTGGGGTATGGACCTAGATGGTCAACGTGAGGATAGCATGAGGATTTAAGATGCTCTGCCTGCCTTTCATGGGGTCTTGCAACCCCGAAAGCTGGTATATCTTATCTAAATTAACCTTGGTTACATCCCGTGCTGTTTCGAATACATAATTAGATTTATAGGTCCAATATCAAGCAAAAAAGTCTGATCTCCGGTACTGATGTTACACTTACATGATCTCCGACGCGAGGATCTCCGAAGTCCGATCTTAAAGTTGGATCTCAGAGCCAAAAAGAGGAACCTAAGCCTTCGTTCCTCTCTAGTAGTGGTCGCAAGCCTGGGACCACTACTAGCATAGTCACAACATCTACAAAGCTGCCATATAGCCTGACTGACAATTTTCTCGACTGCCTGACAATGTTTCTTCTTTTCCCCATTTAGAATACAAAGATTAGTACATTTTAGCTTAATATGATTAATATTATATTTTTACCTATAGTTTACCTAGATTTGAGAGTCAAACAGGAAATTCGGTGTTATCAACTCAAACTCGGATTCGTAGCACAATTGAAAAACCAAAGAATAAAAATCTTAATGAATTTCCCGACATCCTAAAATTTATATCAGGTCGTATTCGATTCAGTGGCCCAAACTCCAGTAGGTTACAAGACTTAAGTTCAAGTCGAGGAACACTTTGATTAAGCATGATCCTTGTCTAGTTGGAGTTTTCGCATATCATGCAGTAGTAAAATCTACTAATCACTCCTAAACTGAGCGTTTTAGAGTCGAATCTCGAACCCTGCCATTCAGCCAAGTAATCTTAATCTGAAGTTTTAGAATTACAGTTCTAATGTTCTAGTACTAATGTATTAGTGCCCTAGATAAGATCTCGAGGCAGCTGTGATAACAAAAAAAACTAGCTATAAGTAACCACTTGATTAAAAAACGAGGGAATGACACACATTATCATGCGATGATACGATGCGAACCAAACCACTGCGGTATTACTATTTAAATGGTAAATGAGCTAAATTAAACTGCAGCCAACAGATCTCAATCCAGCGATCACAGACCAATATTGGTCGAGGCTGTGAAGTCAATTATAATTATACAGTGGGGTCCGGATCCAGTGCCGAATTATTTTAGGTCCGGTATTCTAAGAGTCTTGATACATATTATGGTTTTATGGAATGAATAAATTAAAAGTTGAATTTTTACATTTTGGCTAAATTGGTGCCAATGAAAAATTGTTGGAGTTTTCACAAATCATGCAGTAGTTAAACTTATTTACTAATCACTCCTAAAGTGAACGTTTTTGAGTATATGATGTTCATGAGTCGGCAATTGCAAACAATTTGCTGTTAGCAACTGACCCTTTGACCTTTACTTTGATCTTTACTAAAGAAACCGTAATTTTGAAAAATTACCCTTTCGTAAGACACAAGTATGCTGCTGGGCTGCCCATTAAGAGAGATGCCCAATAAAGTAGACCATTCTCCAATTTTTGTAGGTGTTTCTGGACACAAAGTGAGTCATCTTACATCATGTGACAAATGTTATGTTGCTCATGAGTCTTTAAGACCTTTCTTATAGTTAACAGTCCAATAGCCCATTTGTGAATACTGTCATTGTTCGCTAGGCAAAAATCCGTTTTTCAGCCACATTTCCGAAAATAAGCCTTTTAGGGTATATGTTGCTTCATAAGTTGTATATAAATGTGGCCATTATGTACATTTTAGTGTATCAGAATAGTCTCTACGACCTTCCTAGGCGGAAATGCCAAAAATCACGGAAATTATGAACTGCGTCAAGCCAAAAACCATTTTTCGGCCATATTTCCGAAACAAAGCATTTTAAGGTATATGTTGCTTCATAAGTTGTAAATAAATGGGGCTATTAGGCACATTTTGGTGTATCGGAATAGTCTTTAAGACCTTCCTGAGCCGAAATACAAAAATTCAAGTGACCGCGAAACACTGAAAAAGGGTGTGGCCGAAAACGCCCTCATTGCATTTATTTCAAAAATGCAATGAAGTCCAAATGTTTTAAGAATCATCTAGAGAGGTGATAACCGTTGAGAAATCGCTTTTAACACGAAAAGCTAACGAGATTCCGTTTCGTCCCAGACTAGTAACAGTTATTACTATACAATATCGTCATCTTCGTTTCAGTACTGCCTCCTTCAAAAGATTTCAGCGCTGCAGTAATCTGTCCTGAACCGACATTTATAGAAAAAGGGACCATGAATTGGTAGTGCGGTCAGAGGTGCTATCATTTTCTCAAACTCAGATTTTGCCGTTAGATTGAACGTTTTTCGACCACAAAAGGATGCTGTAGTGCGTACAGAAAACTTATATCGGGGTTTTGGCATTACCAATAGACATCATCTGCACTGATCACCAAGTTCGAAACGATTTTGTACAGTCCTCAGACTTACTTTTTATATCAATAAAATCAAAACTGAAATAGAATCATTCCTTATATTAATATTATACAACTAAAACGTTAACATTAATTGAAATTATGCGAATCGCATATGGTTTGGTCATAAAAAGTCAATATCTTGCATTGTCCCATAAGTGTTTCACACCTTATACCCATATATACTATCATATTAAAGGTGTCTTAGAATTTAAGATATCCCATGGCTTTGTACGCTTTGTACACTTTAAGGAAGCCGGCAGCGTTTGCTCCAAATTGTAAGTCCCAAGGTCTATCAAATTCCTGTGCGGTTTTGTAAGCTGTAGCAAAAATGTTCGTCATGATTCCGTTTAGTTTCTCGTCCACCTAAAACAGCATTCGATTTCATAAAAACTGCAGATTAATATCTAATTGGTTGATCCTCCATACAATTCGAATTTTCATCAGACGCTTATATTAAATATTTGAATCAAACTAACCCAGTTAAAAATCATTAGCTTCTTAGGAGGCACTCCATGCTCCCAGGTAGCTAATACCCCCTCAGAAGCAATCATTACCTTCTCAGACGCTAGTTATAATCGCGTCTCAGATATACTAGTTCTAGCTTCTCAGAAGCGAGTAAAGCGAGTACTCGCTTCTGAGAAGATAATGACTAGCTTCTGATGAGGTAATGGTGGTGTTTAGATTTTAACTGACCTCCTCACTGGACCAGAACAGCCTGGCAGAGTTCTGAGCCATCTCCAAAGCTGAAGTAGCCACCCCACCAGCATTAGCCGCCTTAGCAGGAATGTAGATGTCAACTTTAGTTTTCAGGTAGTCTACTGCTTCGTTGGTTGTCGGCATGTTTGCTCCTATTGTAAGATTAAGTAATTAATTGCTTTCAGAAACATTGGCAATGTTTTTTTCTTCGCATTGGTTTTTTAAACATATTTTTGGCATATGCAGGTTATCAGGACTTAATGATTTATAGCAGTCAAGACTACTGCGTTTAAATTGCTCTCTAAAGTTTATCACAAACTACATAACACCAACCTTCAGCCACACACCAGCAACCCCCCGCTGCAAGGTTCTTTGCTCCCTCCAACGTTATCTCGTTCTGAGTAGCAGAGGGCAGAGCTATATCACAGTTCAGACCTGATGGTTAAGTAGTTGAAAAGTATGAGTTAATAAAACCCCAAGGAGCCTATTTAGAAATTACTGGGCGGCGCTCAGCCTGCATTCCGCCGCATTGTCAATCTGTTTATGAGCAAAAAAGCCAGAGGTCCCCGGTAAAATTAGAAAATAAGGAATAAACACAAATCCTTAAACCCAGCTCACCTAGTTCCCAGACGGATTTCCCGGCGTGATATTCCAACCCTTCAGCAGTACTCATTTCACTTACTCTTCCTCTCTTCACGTTCTTCAGATGGAACAGTTCCTTCAGCTGGTCCTCACTGAAACCTGGTAATATTACAGGATTAGAGGAGGGTTCTTAACACTCTCCAACTCATTGTAAAGGAGAGCGATTAAGTTGGCAACCCTCATTAGAGAACTCTAAATAACTGGATAACAAAAGGGATTCGATCAAATATAACATGATATACCTTCAGTGGAGGTGATGGTTCCAGTAGAGTCAGAGAAAGAGCACACCTGACCTCCTAGTTCCATTACTTTCTGGGCAGCGAACTGGGCTACATTCCCAGAGCCGCTAATCAGCACTTTCAAACCTGGGGTTAGGGGTACACTGTTCAGTGACTATAATTATAAAGCACTGAAACGATTACAACGAAGTGCTATCTTTTCAATGTAGATTATTTTAAATTCGCGTTAATTCCACAAGGATGTTACGTAACTTGCCTCCGAGAAGGTAATGACTCGCTTCTGAGTTCTGAGAAGCGAGTACTAGCTCTAGTAAGGTAATGACTTTCTTCTCAGAAGGTAATATAATCAGATTTGCACCAATGAAATGTAAAGCCGACAACTTTTTACCCGAGCAGTGTGAACTAGTGATTCTTATGCAGATCTGTGATCAGTACCTACCTTTGAAACAGTTTTCAGCAACTCCAGCTCTCCTCTCTTCAGGTAGATATCTGTAGTGGTTGTACTTCTTCAATGCTTCCTGTGATTGGGTCAAACTTTAACAAGAAAAGGAGAGATATGGTCCGCATACAATATAATTTAATAGTCTGAACGGTGGTAGTTTTCTGGTTGAATCGAAATGGAATCTTCACTATCGTCAGACGTTACTCAAGAACTCTTACCAAAGTAATATAAACGAGTCCGTATCCTGTAGCTTCAGGTCTTAGTTTGCTACCCCCAAAGTCTGTACTCTTCCCCGTCAGTACTCCCATGTCAGGCTGCCCCTTCAGTCTTACATACTCTCCGTACATGTAGCTGTGAGGGAGAATACTCAAATAAGTACAATAAAACCAGGGCTTTAGTAACCCTAGTTACCTAGCAACCAGGGCTTCAAACCGCAATTTAGGAAAGATACAGCTAAAGATATAATCAGTGTATGTACATTGTACCCAGGTGCCAGATGTGTAAGTAAACCCAAAATAATCTCACCCTATTTCTCGTCCCCCTACTCATCCTATTTCTCGTCCTCCTACTCAGTACTCACCCTATTTCTTGTCTTCCTAATTACCCTATTTCTCGTCCCCCTACTCACCCTATTTCTCGTCCTCCTACTCCAATATCACCAGCAGGTACGTCCAGGTTGGGTCCAATGTGTCTGTAAAGCCCCTTCATGAAGTGTTCACACAGCATCCTCACTTCGCTGTCACTCTTACCCTGGTGGAAGAGTTTTGAGTATTAATGTAGTGTAATCAGTGTTTGTTAATAGTCAGCTGCAATCGGATAGCAGTTGAGCAGCTCTCCAATCTATGAACTGAAGAACGCGAGCTTTTAACTGTAAGCCAATTCTCAACGTTTAAATGATTGTAATGCACTAGAGCGTGTATCAGATTGTTTAACCTTAGGATCGAAGACACATCCCCCTTTCCCGCCACCAATAGGCAGGTTAGTGAGTGCGTTCTTGAAGATCTGCTCGAACCCCAGGAACTTGATAATACTCTCAGAGACTGAAGGGTGGAAGCGGAGACCCCCTTTGTAGGGACCCAGAGCTGAGTTGAACTGAACTCTGTAACCTGGAACAGTGAACAGTAAGATACAATTGCAATGGGACTTATGGCAGATCTCATCTTACTATATATAAAGCGAGACGATATATATATATATGTATATTATGATTGGCTACTGGGACACGTCATACACACGGTTGGATTGTTAATTCGGTTGAAGTACCTTTACATCCATTATCACCATAATCTGAACATGATTTATTAAAAATTTGCAATATCGAAAACGAAAAATCTGAATAAACTGAAAATTTTAAAACTGAAAGCTGCACTCAATTGATGGAAGGCAAAAATTTACTCATAACTAGCAAGGTAATAACTACAAATGAACAGCAGATTTATAAATCTGCTGATAAAAATTAGATAAAAGACATGGTAACTGATAAGAGTTTGAAATTACACGTAAGCAGATAAATTGTCTAAAATTTCTGTCTCAAATCAAGTTTATAGTGCATCATGAATTTAGGCTTGTTCGATCAAAGTTATATTAGGAGATATTAGGAAAATAGTTCGGTCGGCCGGAAGGGAGTCCAGACTGAGTGTGGTGTGGAGGCAGGATCACCGAGAGACTCGAGATGCTTGTGAGAGTAGTGTACTCATCTAACCGCCATCCAGTATGTGCCACCGGTAGAAATACATATATTATGATTAGCTACTGGGACACGTCATACACACGGTTGGATTGTTAATTCGGTTGAAGTACCTTTACATCCATTATCACCATAATCTGAACATGATTTATTAAAAATTTGCAATATCGAAAACGAAAAATCTGAATAAACTGAAAATTTTAAAACTGAAAGCTGCACTCAATTGATGGAAGGCAAAAATTTACTCATAACTAGCAAGGTAATAACTACAAATGAACAGCAGATTTATAAATCTGCTGATAAAAATTAGATAAAAGACATGGTAACTGATAAGAGTTTGAAATTACACGTAAGCAGATAAATTGTCTAAAATTTCTGTCTCAAATCAAGTTTATAGTGCATCATGAATTTAGGCTTGTTCGATCAAAGTTATATTAGGAGATATTAGGAAAATAGTTCGGTCGGCCGGAAGGGAGTCCAGACTGAGTGTGGTGTGGAGGCAGGATCACCGAGAGACTCGAGATGCTTGTGAGAGTAGTGTACTCATCTAACCGCCATCCAGTATGTGCCACCGGTAGAAATACATATATTATGATTAGCTACTGGGACACGTCATACACACGGTTGGATTGTTAATTCGGTTGAAGTACCTTTACATCCATTATCACCATAATCTGAACATGATTTATTAAAAATTTGCAATATCGAAAACGAAAAATCTGAATAAACTGAAAATTTTAAAACTGAAAGCTGCACTCAATTGATGGAAGGCAAAAATTTACTCATAACTAGCAAGGTAATAACTACAAATGAACAGCAGATTTATAAATCTGCTGATAAAAATTAGATAAAAGACATGGTAACTGATAAGAGTTTGAAATTACACGTAAGCAGATAAATTGTCTAAAATTTCTGTCTCAAATCAAGTTTATAGTGCATCATGAATTTAGGCTTGTTCGATCAAAGTTATATTAGGAGATATTAGGAAAATAGTTCGGTCGGCCGGAAGGGAGTCCAGACTGAGTGTGGTGTGGAGGCAGGATCACCGAGAGACTCGAGATGCTTGTGAGAGTAGTGTACTCATCTAACCGCAATCCAGTATGTGCCACCGGTAGAAATACATATATTATGATTGGCTACTGGGACACGTCATACACACGGTTGGATTGTTAATTCGGTTGAAGTACCTTTACATCCATTATCACCATAATCTGAACATGATTTATTAAAAATTTGCAATATCGAAAACGAAAAATCTGAATAAACTGAAAATTTTAAAACTGAAAGCTGCACTCAATTGATGGAAGGCAAAAATTTACTCATAACTAGCAAGGTAATAACTACAAATGAACAGCAGATTTATAAATCTGCTGATAAAAATTAGATAAAAGACATGGTAACTGATAAGAGTTTGAAATTACACGTAAGCAGATAAATTGTCTAAAATTTCTGTCTCAAATCAAGTTTATAGTGCATCATGAATTTAGGCTTGTTCGATCAAAGTTATATTAGGAGATATTAGGAAAATAGTTCGGTCGGCCGGAAGGGAGTCCAGACTGAGTGTGGTGTGGAGGCAGGATCACCGAGAGACTCGAGATGCTTGTGAGAGTAGTGTACTCATCTAACCGCAATCCAGTATGTGCCACCGGTAGAAATACATATATTATGATTGGCTACTGGGACACGTCATACACACGGTTGGATTGTTAATTCGGTTGAAGTACCTTTACATCCATTATCACCATAATCTGAACATGATTTATTAAAAATTTGCAATATCGAAAACGAAAAATCTGAATAAACTGAAAATTTTAAAACTGAAAGCTGCACTCAATTGATGGAAGGCAAAAATTTACTCATAACTAGCAAGGTAATAACTACAAATGAACAGCAGATTTATAAATCTGCTGATAAAAATTAGATAAAAGACATGGTAACTGATAAGAGTTTGAAATTACACGTAAGCAGATAAATTGTCTAAAATTTCTGTCTCAAATCAAGTTTATAGTGCATCATGAATTTAGGCTTGTTCGATCAAAGTTATATTAGGAGATATTAGGAAAATAGTTCGGTCGGCCGGAAGGGAGTCCAGACTGAGTGTGGTGTGGAGGCAGGATCACCGAGAGACTCGAGATGCTTGTGAGAGTAGTGTACTCATCTAACCGCCATCCAGTATGTGCCACCGGTAGAAATACATATATTATGATTAGCTACTGGGACACGTCATACACACGGTTGGATTGTTAATTCGGTTGAAGTACCTTTACATCCATTATCACCATAATCTGAACATGATTTATTAAAAATTTGCAATATCGAAAACGAAAAATCTGAATAAACTGAAAATTTTAAAACTGAAAGCTGCACTCAATTGATGGAAGGCAAAAATTTACTCATAACTAGCAAGGTAATAACTACAAATGAACAGCAGATTTATAAATCTGCTGATAAAAATTAGATAAAAGACATGGTAACTGATAAGAGTTTGAAATTACACGTAAGCAGATAAATTGTCTAAAATTTCTGTCTCAAATCAAGTTTATAGTGCATCATGAATTTAGGCTTGTTCGATCAAAGTTATATTAGGAGATATTAGGAAAATAGTTCGGTCGGCCGGAAGGGAGTCCAGACTGAGTGTGGTGTGGAGGCAGGATCACCGAGAGACTCGAGATGCTTGTGAGAGTAGTGTACTCATCTAACCGCCATCCAGTATGTGCCACCGGTAGAAATACATATATTATGATTGGCTACTGGGACACGTCATACACACGGTTGGATTGTTAATTCGGTTGAAGTACCTTTACATCCATTATCACCATAATCTGAACATGATTTATTAAAAATTTGCAATATCGAAAACGAAAAATCTGAATAAACTGAAAATTTTAAAACTGAAAGCTGCACTCAATTGATGGAAGGCAAAAATTTACTCATAACTAGCAAGGTAATAACTACAAATGAACAGCAGATTTATAAATCTGCTGATAAAAATTAGATAAAAGACATGGTAACTGATATATATATGTATATATCCATGCCATTTTTCTGACACCACGGCATCAACTTTAACGCGACTTTCTGCAAAAACCGTAAAAGATATACAACTGAAACTTTTTTGACTGGGTCAAATGCTTTAATGGCCTTCAAATCAGCATGAAAAAATAAAAAATAGGCCAAGTAATAAGAATTTTAGTGCCGAAAATTTGGACTCCCAAGTGGTGTCAAAAACGCGAATTAAATAGGTAATAATTATTTTAGTCTCTTGAGTCTTGACACCACTTTAGGGTTAGACGGGTTCCTGCTAAGTGCTAATATCCATTAGAATCCGTCTCCACTGAGTCTATTCAGAAACAATCAGAAGTTTGAATGGAAGAAGCAGCAAATCATGACACTAAATGATAATACACGACTCAATTAGACAGTTTCAAGTACGTCCTCCAATCAGACCAAATTGAAATTATTCGTTGCAAGATTCAGTGCTAGCCTTTTTGTTCACATCAACAACCATACTATTTATCCTTGTTTATCATTTGTGTTGGTAATTTGCAAGCAAGCATCTGTCATGGGTTTATCTAGAATGATGGTGGTTACCAGACTCATGCTGATAACTATGGTAACTACAGTACATTGTGTACTCTCCTCCCAGAGTGCCAGCTCTTATCATAAAACAAATGAGACTATTCAAGAAAACGACAATTTGACCTTCGTTCCAGTTGTCAATGATGACAGTAATCAATCGATGGAAGGTTCTGATAAAGCCAGCTTGATGACTCTAACAACAGTAAATATATTGGTCTCCATCTGTTGCATTGTCCTTAGTATGACCATAGCATACTTCAGGTTTGTTAAATCACGTGCCACCAAACTTGGCCTAATACAAACCCTCTATCTCCGAAATGGAATAGCTGACTTCTTCGTAGGATTAGGAGTTCTTCTTCAGAGCCCCATTTTGTATCTACTGATTTCAAAAGGCGATGAAATATCTGATATGGTAGTGCCTGCCTACATCATCTATTTTTTGACCGCCATAGCTGTAAAGATGAGCGTCTTCATGAACTGCATCTTGGGAATAGTCCGGTGCATTAACATTGCTCAACCTTTCTACCTGATCAAAAGGAAATCCCTCACTGTGTGCACCCTTGTGTACATGTTGATTTGGATGCTCATTCTTGGGATTGACCTGTGGCAGTTTGCTGAAAAAAGGGGGACGAAAAATCAAATTCTTATGGTGAAGACGATGATTATGAAGGGTCAGCCAGGATTTGGATTGGTTCTCCTGACCATGGAGAAGGAAGATAATGGTCCAAGCTATCTCGCCTACCAACTTGGCAACCTGGTTCAGTTCATTTTACCCACTGCTCTGCCTGCATTGCTTTGTTTTGTGTTGATGATAGTGCAGCTGTGTTCACTGCATAAAAC